GGTTTATTTTCGTAGCATAAAAATTAGAGAAAGAGGCAGGGCGGACCTTAAAACGCAGTATATTAAAAGGTCCGCCCTCTGTTTTTCAGATATTGTACTGTTACAAGGCGAAAATTTTGAAAAGGGTTTATTTTCGTAGCATAAAAATTAGAGAAAGAGACAGGACGGACGTTAAAACGCAGTATATTTAAAGGTCCGCCCTCTATAATTCAGATGTCTTACTGTTAGAAAGCAAACATTTTGGACAGGGTTTATTTCCGTAAAATAAAAACTAGTCAAAATGGCAGGGCGGACCTTAAAACGCAGTATAATAAAAGGTCCGCCCTCTGTTTTTCAGATATTGTACTGTTACAAGGCGAAAATTTTGAACAGGGTTTATTTTCGTAGCATAAAAACTAGAGAAAGAGGCAGGGCGGACCTTAAAACGCAGTAAAATAAAAGATCCGCCCTCTGTTTTTCAGATATTTTACCATTAGAAAGCAAACATTTTGGACTGGGTTTATTTCCGTAAAATAAAAACTAGTCAAAATGACAGGGCGGACCTTAAAACGCAGTATAAAAAACGTCCGCCCTCTGTTTTTCAGATATCGTACTATTACAAGGCGAAAATTTTGATCAGGGTAATTTTCTTAGCATACAAACTAGAGAAAGAGACAGGGCGGACCTTAAAACGCAGTATAATAAAAGGTCCGCCCTCTATATCTCAGATATCTTACTATTACAAGGCGAAAATTTTGAACAGGGTTTATTTTCGTAGCATAAAAACTAGAGGAAAGAGGCAGGGCGAACCTTAAAGCGCAGTATAATAAAAGGTCCGCCCTCTGTTTTTCAGATATTGTACTGTTACAAGGCGAAAATTTTGAACAGGGTTTATTTTCGCAGCATACAAACTAGAGAAAGAGACAGGACGGACGTTAAAACGCAGTATATTTAAAGGTCCGCCCTCTATAATTCAGATGTCTTACTGTTAGAAAGCAAACATTTTGGACAGGGTTTATTTCCGTAGCATAAAAATTAGAGAAAGAAGCAGGGCGGACCTTAAAACGCAGTATAATAAAAGGTCCGCCCTCTGTTTTTCAGATATTGTACTGTTACAAGGCGAAAATTTTGAACAGGGTTTATTTTCGTAGCATAAAAACTAGATTAAGAGACAGGGCGGACCTTAAAACGCAGTGTAATAAAAGGTCCGTCCTTTGTATTTCAGATATCTTACTATTACAAGGCGAATATTTTGAACAGAGTTTATTAAAAGTTATCGTAGCGGGAAAAAAAACTCGTTAAAATGGCTGGGCGGACCTTAAAACGCAGTATGATAAAAGGTCCGCCCTCTTTTTTTTCTTTTTTCCCACATACATGTATCTCACTTACAAAGCAAAAATTATGGAAATGCTGCAAGTTCCTATTGTTTGTTTTTTTCTTTGTTGGTTCGTGTGTTTTTCCAGGGTAATAAAGATAATTAGGTTTTTAATTTTAGGATGGACGCTAAATTAACTTAGAAAACTCTTGGAATGGCCTAATTGTGCATAAGAATTGCATATATACTACATGTAGTAGTGTACTTTTTTCATTTAATATGCAGACAAAAAGAGAAAACTTTAATGACAATTAATTATCCACTCTATGTACGTTTGCAGGAGATGTGTCTACTGTATTGTATATCTATATGCAACCATAAACATCTGTCTGAAGGGACCAAGGATATATATTATTATTTAATTAGTAATGTTGATGACGTGCAACAAGAGAACCATAACCCCCATCACACACACATAAATAAAAAAGAAATAGCCGCTAAAAGTAAATCTAATTTAAACCAAAATCAAAATAAATATAAAAAATATTAACAAAAGAACACGACTTGGTGGTGTTTTATGAATTTTTATATCAGTCGCGATCTCAACAGACACTTTCCTTTTTATTTTAGGGGGAAAAACATGTCAAGTTGCTCTGTAAAACCCCTCTGTAAATAGTATGGGTGGATAAGATTCTCCCTAGTAAGAAGTTGGAAAAGGAGAAAATTCTATACTGAAGCGTACTGAGTATTTCCTATGGTGGATAATAAAGCCGGGGTTGTTTCTTCCAAGCTCGCTGCATGTCATTTCCGAAATTTTGCATTGCATTTCCGACATTTTTTGTTTTCATTTTAGAATACAATCAACACTAAGTCTAGTAAAAATACAAAGTTTAGTAATAAAATGCAATAATTTCAATAATAAAACAATCAATTTTTGATCACCAAATTTTAATGCCCACTGAATTATATGTGTTTGAAAGCACCGAAAAACAGAATCCCCTCAACTTTGATTACCTTATTCCCTCAAACATACTTTCTGTATGTCATAAATTCTGTCTTAACCTTTCTGATCTCAAATTCAGTCTGCTTATCTTGATTTGAAAAGATGAACAAAAATTCACAACTTACACTTACATGTGTCCGAGGATAAAATCATCATAAGATTCTTTTAAATATAAGCAGAACTTATTATTTGGAAATCAATGAATTATTCTTGATTTATTCTTTAATATTTTTTATAAGGGAAATTTCAATTTTGTTTTCATTGCCGGAAAAGTACCTTATGATGATAAATGTCAGAGATGAAAATTTTAAAACGTCAGAAATAAAAACTACAAAAATGTAGGGAATGAAATAAACAATAATTATTTTTAAAAAAAATTCCGGAAATAAAATCCTATGCTAGGCTCATTTTCCAAAAGGGGGAGGGGTCTTTAAACCCAAGCTCGTTTTTCTGGGAAAAAATATTAATGCGGGAGGAAAGTCTACAACATCAGTACTTTTTAAACTATTTGACATGTATTAACAGGGATAGACATTAACTTTTAGATTCACTTGTCCTTCGGGCAAGTGATCTCAGACCTGGACTTGTCCGAATGCAAAACTTGGTTGCCCAAAATAAGGGAAGAAAAATATTTTTATTACTGTAAATTGAGAGGAAAAAAATGTGACCAAATACACTACTGTCAACTTGGCAAGTTGAGCTACATAAAAAAAGTAATTTCGATGCTTCGTTTGTACATGTGTATCACTGTCCTTGTCAATTTAATATGTTAACACACTGCCATGCAGCATTATCCCTCCGTTGTCTTTTAATAAACTTTATGTTTATAAAAAATAATTTCCGTAGAATCCTTTTGTGAATCGTGATTTTCAGAGATAAAAAGCAACAGTAAAGGAAGACAATTGCTATGAAACATACATATCTGGATTGGGATACATCGTGTTACTTATATTCTGTGAATGAATTTCCTAATTAGACGTTAACAAATTTGTTATAAGTAGAGTGTATTTATCACGAAAGAAAACAGAATAATGAACCCGATTTTTAAATGGTCCGTATATTCTAGAAACGCTACCAAGGATTTCCTAATGTAAATCAATGTCAGGTATCTGGCGGAAATGAAGTATTCTATTTATTGTTTTATTTATAAATTAATGTAAGCTGACTAAATATGTACATTTCTATGAGAAATTCACTTGCCCGATCGGACAAGTACGTTGACAGTTTCACTTGCCCGAAATGAGGATTTACTTGTCCCGGGCAATCGGACAACCGTTAATGTCGATCCCTGATTAAGATAATTTTGCTATACCCCACCCACCAAATGTACAACAACACCATTTAAAATCTTTTCCATTTGGGGGGGGGGGTGTTTTATTGCTTAAAATGTTCAACTCGATTGTTGCCAATTAATGCACATCTTCCTTAACCAGTGTTAACCCCGGGGTAATATCAAGTAGAATGAAATAATCGTTAGTCTTTAATTGGATAAGAAACGATGGTTATAAAAACACGGGGGATATGCGACTTCAAGTTTCGTCAGGTGAGACAATAGGCCTACCCCCAAAGCACAGACATGTTGTTTTAACAACAACGGGATAGGCTAGTACACCGTAACACAAGTCCCTGTCACAGTGACCCTCCAATTATTTTATAGTTAGGTACAATATGAATCGTAAGAATTACGCATAATTATTAATAATAATATAATGAAATATCTTTCGAAAGATATGAAAATTCTTTTTGGGAAGTGGAAGTAGAACGTTGTTAGGAAAGAGACTGTAATGAAATGATCATTGTTGGACTTACGAACACCATATACTGAACAATGTGCCAGTGAAGGTATGCGTATTATATATATGTATTTTTTTTTTATTCTGCAATGATAATATTGATATCACTTAAACTATAAAAAACACATGTCGTACATGATTTTCCCATAAGTTAACTCGATCAACAGATCTTTGCATCTTTATATTTTTTGTTTTGTGCACTACCTGTGAGGTATGTACTACGATAAGGAGCTAACAGTTAATCAGTGCTAACATCAAATTTTGAATAATTTTTTGATAGATAATTTGAGGTTTTGTACTGAGATATATCATAGTATTAGAAATATAATTAATTAAAATTGGCTAACGAAATCCAGCAACTAGCGAGATATCGCAAGACTTGATCCTTTTAGTATATACAATGTACATACATGTACGTCCCTGGAACTCCATTTTGCTGGGAGGGACACTTTTATAACAACTATACCTTAAATAATTTAAAAAGATTAATAAATCAAATTAATTTCGAATCAATAAAGGAGAAAAATCTGCATATTAAACCGAGGGGGGACCTTTTATTATAGAGGCAGGCCGGACCTTATATGTTATCGTATTAGGTCCCCTCGGACCTTTAAACGAGGCGGACCAAATATTATGCGACACCGGTCAACAGGGGGTGCTTACTCCTCTTAGGCACCTAATCCCACCACTTATATTTCCAGGGGTCTGTATTTTATGCCCTTTTCCCATATTTGTATTGTTTATGGATTTTTTGAAATCGATCACTGTTCGTTATATTTATCTTATTACCATGCTAGACAGTGGAATAAAACAGGATCGAATTGACAAGAAACGAACACTCCTAATATTGGAAAATGAAAGTGAAAAATCGTCAGTGACTGACAATGTTGTTGTGAAGATCAAGATGAAAAAGAATGAGCTTTATACGAGGCAGTCGTATCAGTCAGGGTCTGAAACAGGTTCTGGATACCGAGGAGGATGTACAAGACCATTTTCTGGCTGCCGAAGAAGAGGAATTTGACAGCTTTCACGACAACCTGACACTTAAAATAGAGAACCAGGAAGTCTCAAAACCAAGTATGAAGTTATAGCAAATTTAAATCAATGAAACATTTCCAAGAATTTCAATAGCGAGTTCAGATGCTGGAGGATCTATGGGTTGTACCTCCATAGTTTGGGACCAAGAGAAAATAAATCATACAAAGATTTAATTTTTCTCAATTCAGCTTGCTAAGCTACTTTCGACATTTAATACGTCTCTTTCTTCAGATAGAAATCATTTCTGATCGAGATTGTAAGCAAAAACTTCCTATGATATTGATAAAGATTTTTTTTTTTCAAATTTCTCTTAAAAGTAAAATGAAAAAAGGCTCATTATTCACTTTGTCCAGTTGCATGTTTATTAATAACAATAATAAGCATGCATATTTCGAATTCATCCTTCTGTATGATTTTTAGCTCATCTGAGCTGAAGGCTCTAGTGAGCTTTTCTGATTGACATTTTTCTGTCTGTAATTGTAAACTTTTCATATTTTCATCTTCTTCTCCAGAACCACTAGACCAATTTCAACCAAACTTGGCACAAAGTATCCTTGGATGAAGGGGATTCAAGTTTTTCAAATGAAGGGCCATTCCCTCTTCCTAGGGGATATAATAAAGAAATAGTGAAAATTTGGTGGTATCCTTTAAAAATCTTTTTTTTTTTTATTTTGAAAAAATACTGGGATCAAAACACCTTTACATTGTGTAGATTCAAGTTTATACAAATCATGACCCCCTGGATAAGTAAGGGCCACAATGGGGGATCAAAGTTTTATATAGGAATACACAGGAAAAATCTTTGAAAATCTTCTTCTCAAGAACAGCAAAGCCATGTTTAGTCATATTTATAAGGAAGCATCCTCAGGTAGAGCGGATTCAATTTTGTTTAAATCATGACCCCCAGGGGTATTGTAGGGCCACAATAGGGGATCAAATTTTTACATAGAAATACTTATAGAAAAATATCTTGAAAATTCTTCTCAAGAATAGCAAAGTCTTATTGAGTCATATTAATATGGAAGCATCCTTAGGTATTGTATATTTAGGTTTGTTCAAATCATGAACCCCGGGTTAATGTAGGGCCACAATGGGAGATCAAATTTTTACAAAGAAATATATAAGAAAAAAATCTTGAAAATTCTTCTTCTCAAGAATAGCAAAGTCTTGTTGAGTCATATTAATATGGAAGAATTATCAGGTAGTGTAGATTAGGTTTGTTCAAATCATGACCCCCTGGGATAGGTGGAGTCACAATGGGGGATCAACGTTTTACATGGGAATATCTAGGGGGAAAAAATTCTCAAAAGCATCAAACCCAGTCTTCTCAATTCAGAAGCATCCTCAAGTAGAGTAGTTTCACATGTGTTCCAATCGTGTCCCTGGAGGTAGGGCAAGGCCTCAACAGAAGATCAAATGTCAGAACCACAGTTATATTTAAACTTTTCAATACTGAACTGATTTCTGCTTTTTCCTAGTCAAAGTGCTCAGGTAAGCAATTTGGCCCATGGGCCTCTTGTTAAACAAGAATATTTGATTCACATTCATTTAGCTATGATCAGGTGTTTTTTAAAAATATATATTAAACCATTAAAAATCAAGCATCAATTTCCTGCATTATTTTGTTGTATATTAAGTCATGTAAAATATCAAAGTTCAATTTCTGATGTCATTCCTCTTAAGCACAAGGTTTAAGAACATTTGAGCAGGAAAGATAGATTTTAGAATTTATTGTCAATTAAAACACTAATAGCCAATTTAAATGATGATATCAATTCTTATTTCTTATTCATAAGGAAATTATTCTAGTACTCGATCAATAAGCTGAAGCAATTTCTAGATAAATTGGCAGACTGATGAAATTTTGTTGTAATTTGTTATTTTGTAGAAAATCACTGTCATTTTTAACTGTTCACTATATTTTACAATTTAAATCAGATGAGACCATGACTTTTTCATGTCAGCAAGGAAAATCTATCAGAAGATCTTATGCAATTCCTTTATTTTTATTTTTTTATTTATTTATTATTTTTTTTTTTTTTTTGGACAGAAATTTAAATTTATATAGATTTTACTGGACAACAAATTTAATTGCAGAGGATGACAGAAAATCAGCCGTTATTTCCATCAGTGGAGACAACCCTGGAACAAGAGGCGTGATATTTGAGGTTATAAAAGCGGAGAAAGCCAGCGAGGGCAGATCTTCCTTTGTGGTTAAGTAGCAAAGTCATTGTTTACTTATAAAACACTGGGATAAATGTAACATATTTCAGTAGCAAAGTCATTGTTTACTGATAAAACACTGGGATAAATGTAACATACTTAAGTACCAAAATCATTGCTTACTGATAAAAAATACTGGGATAAATGTAACATACTTCAGTAGCAAAGTCATTGTTTACTGATAAAACACTGGGATAAATGTAACATACTTAAAGGTGCTTAGACACAGATTTGAAGTTAATATTTTCTCAAATTTTCTGTATAATATCACGACTTATATATTGCAATAGCATTTCACACGAAAATTTAATTAAAAACTTATTTTATCTGGAAATTATTGGAACTACGAATTCCTAGACGCGTTTGATTTACACATCCTTGCACTTTCACAAATTTTATCTTTATCCCTAACATTTAAGAAAAGAAGCGATTTTGTTGTATATTAATGAAAAACATTACATCTATAATGCAGAAAATTCAGAGTAGAAATGTGCGAAAGCAAACCCCCTCACTAATATCGTCAGCCCGTGCTCAGTGTTGTGTACAGTTTTTAACAAATTGAATACACCCCGTGAAACGTAAACTGTTTTTGTAAACAGGGCACGAGCTCTGTTATTGTTAATGTTTACGATTCACCGGGTGTGTTCAATTGTTAAAGTCTGCACACACCACTGAGCACAGACTGACAGTACTGTGAGTGGGTTTTGCTTTCGAACATTTCTACTCTGAGTTTTCTGGATTATAGTTTTAATATTTTTCATTAATACACAACAAAATTGCCACTTTTCTTAAGTAATAAGAATAAAATCAAAATTTGTGAAAGTGCAAGGATGTGTTAATCAAACGCGTTCAGAAATTTTAAGTTTCAATAACTACGAGATGAAATGAGATTTTTATTATATTTTATCATGAAATGCTATAGCAACATATAAGTCATGAAATTTTACAGAAAATTTGAGAAAATATTAACTTCAAATCTGTGTCCAAGCACCTTTAAGTAGCAGTGTCATTGAGCACTGATAAAACACAGGGATAAATGTAACATACATAAGTAGCAGTGTCATTGTTTACTGATAAAACATACTTAAGTAGCAAAGTCATTGTGCACTGATAAAACACTGGGATAAATGTAACATATTTAAGTAACAAATACCTTAAATTCGTTATAACAAATTCAAAAAACTGTAATAACGAATTAAATTCGTTCAAATTCTAAAAATTGTTATAACAAATTAAATTTGTTATAACAATTTTTGAATTTGTAATAACAAATTTAATTTGTTATAACAAATTTGTTGAATTTGTCATAACAGATTCACAAATACTATTCTATAGGCCCTAATTATCGAATTTGATTAAACGACTTTAATTCGTTATAACAAATTTTAGAATTTGTTTAAATGAATTTAATTCGAGATTTCAAATTTTAGAATTTGTTTAAAGGAATTTAATCTGTTAAAACAAATTTTTGAATTCATTATAACGAATTCAACAAATTTGTTATAACAAATTAAATTAGATATAATGAATTCAAAAAATTGTTTTAACGAATTAAATTCGTTATAACAAATTCCAAAAATTGTTCTAATGAATTCAGAAATATATTTTGATTGGTCCTAAATAGGCTTCCATAAATGCAGCAATATTCTTGATTTCACTAATTACCAGTAGGTCATGACTTATCGGTAATTAAATAAGTTAAAATTTGAGTGTGCTTCAAGAAAGTAAACATTAATTCAGCTCCAGGTATTCACTGTTATTCCTCATAGTAATGAAACATGTAGATATACATTTATATGCAAAAAATGGGGGTTGGGGTTGGGTTACCCTTTTGAGGAACTTTAGGAAGAAATTTTCCCTTCTTTTGTTTCCTCTCCAAAATGCAGGTGCAAAATTAAGCTGTAATCCCTAATTTTTCAGATAAATCTTTAACACAGCAGTATTTTCTGTTGTCTTTTAGAAGTACACTCTGTCAGTCAGCACAGAGGGGGACCCAGACAAGACTCCCGGTCTTATAGAGAAGAGATATTCAGATTTTAGTGACCTCAATACAAAACTAAAGAAACAGTTCCCAAAATATATGGAACACATATCATTTCCTGGAAAATTAGTGATAGGAAATTTCACAGATGAAACCATAGCCCAGAGGAGCAGAGCCTTTGAGCAGTTTCTGACACACATATTCACAATAGATTCACTGCGATTTTCCGATGAATTTAAAAATTTTCTTTACCAAGAAGAAATGCAGAAAGGAGTGGAAAGTATACATGGAGGTGATTTTTCTCACTGTGTAACCGTCATGGAGAAATACCTCCCTGTGCAAGAGAGATTGCAAGGAGATCAGCACACTGATGTAGTGTGCACACTCTGTGTACTGTCTGTGTGTCACCAAAAGCTAGGAGATCGAGAGACAGCACTTGAATATGCTGAGTCAGCACTTTCCTGTATTAACAATGACCAGACTTGTCCCTTTCTTGTTCCTTTGCTGAATCACACTATCTACCTTTGTTGGGTACTCTGTCGTGAAAAGAGCCATCTGGAGGCAAGACTGGCGGGACTCAGAGACAAGGGAGGTAAATCTGAGGAACTCCTGTCCGTGATATTAAATTACACCAAGTTTGATTCTGTGTGGTATGATGATAAATAATCAAACTGTAAATAGCTCCAGTATTGAGATGTACAGCTGACAAAGAAGTTGATACTGTAGACCAACTTATTATTCATGACTTGTTGTATTCTTAATTTGTCAGTATGAAATCCAGCCACTAGTCTACTATTAATTTTGGTGACTTAGGAAATTGCATAAATACACCAATTAATGGTTCATGTCAAGAAATATTCACAAGTAAATGAGGGTAAAAAAACTCGCAAATATTTCTCACAAGGGAATAAAAGTTTGTTTACAGTATATTGCAGCATAAATATGGGCTAGTTCACAGTATATAGCAGCATAATATGGGCTAGTTGCCCTCATCAAACAGATCTGTCATGTCAATATGTCACCCTAAAATAAAGTTAGGGGACAAGTTGTTATTATTGTGCCAAGGCATTTATATTGCATGCTGGTAGCCTTTTTTGGCAGGATTGTTTTTAATTACTGTATACCTTGTTTAATTTTGACATATTGCATAATATTTATACTTACTGGTATATTCAGGAGCTATTTTATTTGTGGAAAAAAAAAATTTTAAAAAGCAAAAATAAATTCTTAAAAAGGTTTATCTTTCTTTTTTTTCCTCACAAACAAAACATGATATATTTCTCCACCTTCTCCATATTCCAGGTCATTCTTATATGGACAAGATAATGATGATGATGTCTCTGAATCTACATTGCCCCCAGAAATTTTGGTATTGTTACAATTAATTGTACAAATTAATGTTGCAACTATTGCAGGAAAAAATACCTATTCCTCAATGGGACCTGATCCCACCTGTGATGTTTTCAGGGGTAGTGTTTATTTTACTCACAGTTTGTATTGTTTAATTGGACTTTCAAGCATGGTTACTATTCGAACAGCAATGGATATTATTATCAGGCACATAGTATTGTAGCCCCCCCCCCCACTTTTTTTTCTAACATAACCTTTAACTGTTGAAAATGTAGATTGAGAAGCTTGGTTGCCCCACTTCTTTTTTGGTTGCAGTTAGTCAAATCAGGGTAATGTAGTAATGTATGAATAAAATTTGTTTGTGAAGAGAGTTTTTATATTTCATACATTTGAATAATTGTCAAAAAGCATTGGATATAATTATAAGACACAGGGTTGGGGGGGGGGGGGGAGGGACTGTCCCCCTTTTTTTTCTAACAATACCCTTTACTATTGAAATATTCATTGAAAGGCTGGTTGGCCCCCACTTTTTGTTGTAGTTAGTCAAATCAGGGTAATGTGATAATATTTGGATAAAATTTGGTTGTGAAGGTTGTGAAAGGAGTTGGAGACAAAAATTCCTTGACAAGCCAAAACAAAGTCATCAGACATTATTACTGAGGGGGCACAAGTTTAAAGTAGCTATGTTTTATATTAGCAAAATAATTGGGGGGATGGAGCTCCCCCCTTCCCAGTTCCTACGATCATATGTCCAACATATAATTCAATTACTAGAAAAAATTACTTTAGAAAGGAACACTCTTTGGGCTTCTTTAGCTCTTCTGAGCCAAAGGCTCAAAGAGCCATTGCTGTGGCCATTTGTGCAGTGTGTGTCAACTTTTAAGAATATGGCCCATATCTCAAGAATCCCTTGGCCAATTTTTGTCAAATTTGTCACAAAGTATCATTGGCCCAAGGGCTCTTGTTTATACTAAAACTAGGGATGTGACTATTAAACAAGGGGAGACAATTAGGAAAGTAAAAACAAAGTACTGGTTGCTAAAAAAATCCTCTTCTCAAGAACCAATGGGCTGATTATCAGGAAACTTACATACAAGGATGGGGATATGTTGTAGATTAAAAATTGTTCAAGGAATCACCCTTGGGCAAAGGGCATGGTCTCAAGGCCAATTCAAAGTTGACCAAAGGTCACTGTGACCTACTTTTGGAGTTTTATGGCTACATTTAAATATTCAGATACTAATTGGCAAAGAATCATCAGACTTTGTCATTTGATGCATCTTGGGTCCTTGAAGTGTGTCAACTGAAAAGTAGGTTTTAAGTTACCTACTTTTGGAATTTTAGGCTATATTTGAATATTTAAGATATTAATTAACTTAGAATCACCAAACTTTGTCAGTTGATTCATTTTGGGTCCTTGGAGTATGTCAACTATGACCTACTTTTGGAATTTTATGGCTATATTTGAATATTCAGATACTAATTTGCTTAGAATTATCAAACTTTATCAATTGATGCATATTGAGTCCTTGAAGTGTGTCATCTTAAAAGTAGGTAACAGTGACCTACTTTTGGAAATTTATGGCTATATTTAAATATTTCAAAGACGTATTAGCTTAGAATCATCAAATTTTGTCATTTGTTCTTTCTTGGGTCCTCGGAGTTGTCGACTGAAATGTAGGTCACTGTGACCTACTTTATGATTTTTTGGCTATATTTAAATATTTCAGATACTAATTGGCTTTGAATCATCAAACTTTGTCAGTTAATGCATCTCGGGTTCTCAGATGTCATGATGACCTACTTTTGGAATTTGAAGGCATAGGATTCTTACAGGCTTCATATAGAAGTGATAGGTTGTACAATTTACCAGAAGAGCGAATCAAGGCCATCGGGCCTCTTGTTAATAAAGAAGAATTTATTTTTGTTTTTAAACATGAGACGTGTGAACATTCCGATCTCGCGGTTTATAGTACCTTGGTTATCTTGCACTGAATTTCCAAAACTATCCCTCTTAAAAAATTTTTTTTATTCCGAGGGTATGATTTTTTGTCGGAAACATTCAATTCAAAATGGAAAAAGGTGATCGAAATTGAACCTTAATCCTGAAAAAAAAATATTCGATTCATAAATTCATATTCGAATATCAATTTGTTGAATGAATATTGACATCCCAAATCAAAATGAAGTACATGTATATCAATTCAACTATAACTTAGTTTACTAAGAATTAATCATGAAAAGAATCCATTATGATTATTGTACCTGCTAATAAGTATAATAGACATTGAAAATATTGATTCTAGTATCATACGTATAAATATTCAACTGTAGATATTTATTAGACATGGGAAGTTTTGATTTTAGTGCTGTAAGTTTGTAATATAATTATAATATACTTAAAAAAAATTATGTTACACCCGAACCTTTAATGTGTAGGGTTAAATGCCCGTATAAATACACAAACTCTGCAATATTTATCTTGCAAACGTCAGACAAAAAAAGCTTAGGTATGTCGGTGACATAGATATCAGTTCTTATCAAATGTACTCAGATGTACTTAAAAATTTTCCAGTCAGAGAAGAGACTTTAACCTGTTTAACTCCCCAAAGAGTCACATGATGTGCAATTTTTTGTAAATGCAAATAAAGAATAAAGATTTCTTTTTATTTTTAGTTAGACATGAAGGGACATGTCCTTTGAAAATTATAAGTATTTTTTATGAAGTCAAAACCTTCACATATTAAATATTATTTGCAGCCCAACGATGTCCCTTTTGTTTAATTTAAAGTTTTAAGAATGAATATACAATGTAATTAACTCACTTTGACAGATCTCAGCCAGATTTTCAGGTATGATCAAAATTATAAATGCGCATATTTTTCATATATTGTAAAACTATTGGTGATGAATTTCATTATGATATGGAATGCAAGTTCTTTTCGAATGACAGAAAAAATATTTCTCCAAAATAGATATTGTAAAAATCCTAACACTTTCAAATTTGATGAACTAATGAACACAAATAATGTAGAAATACACAAAAATCATTGTCAAAATTTATTAAGAAAATCTTCAAAACTGTCTGTTCTTCTTGAATCGTCCATATATATAACTGATTATATGTTTACTTTCTTTTCTTTTTTCTTTATATACTTGTCTATATTTTGACCCTTGACTGTAATTTTTGTTTGTATATATGTGTATATGTTCCTCTTGTACCAGTGATCTGGTTTTGAGTGAATAAAGAATTGAAATTGAATTGAAATCGATAATAGGACACCAAGTGTAATAGAAATGCTTATTGTGATCTAATTTGGATGTACCCTCGTAAGTGTGCTTATGTAATCATGTCTCCAGATAATGAAGACGGATTAGAGATGTACCCTCGTATGTATGCTTATGTAATCATGTCTCCAGATAATGAGGACGGATTAGAGATGTATCCTCGTATGTATGCTTATGTAATCATGTCTCCAGATAATGAGGACGGATTAGAGATGTATCCTCGTATGTATGCTTATGTAATCATGTCTCCAGATAATGAGGACGGATTAGAGATGTATCCTCGTATGTATGCTTATGTAATCATGTCTCCAGATAATGAGGACGGATTAGAGATAGAATAAAGGAGGGGAAAAGTCTTGAAACAATTAATCAGACATGATTTATCAATTACCACATTTGTTCATAATAATTGTTCAAGCCATAAAAACGAAAAGAAAAACAAGAAGCAAATATCGAAAATAGGGTTATAAAGGTTTTATAAATGAAAAAATTATATTAAGATTTCTTACCTTGATGATAAGAATAATTATTATGCTCTTTTTATACGATTAAAAAATTATGTTGCAATTCATTAACATGCATTGTATGTTACTATTCACTTACTGTTCATGCATTAATTCTAGATTTACTTTTTCTCGCTTCTTTCTCTTGGACAATACTATTCCGTGTTTTTATGTCAGGGTATTCCATTTTTTAAGGAAACGATCAAAAGCGTAAAATTCAGAATTTGCCAACAAAGGAATAGATGCTGTGAACGTTTGTAACATTCTTAATCATATTTATTTAGTTCAGTCTTTCATTCCACCATATTTCAAGTGTTCTTGCTCTTCTTTCAACTATAGTCCCACTGGACAAATCATTACTGGTGATGTAAATATAGCTGAAAATGACGACCTAAATGCAATCATTATAAAGGTCCTAAATATAGGGAGCCCTGATCTTTCAATTGGCGAGAGAACTTCGTTTGTTTTATGAATTCTGTCGAGGATTATGCCAGACGATGGATGAATTGTGAAGGGGAAGACCGAACACTTTGTCAGAATCGATTAAGTGTTTTCGAAAAAAAAAAACGAAGAATCGCGTCAGAAAGATAAAAGGTAATAAGTGACTCATATATTCTTTCGTTTTTACGAAATCGGAAGTCATAAAAGAATATGATAAACTACATGGTTCCAGCAGACAATGCTTGTATCAATGTTCGTCTTTTTAAGGAGGGATTCTTCTCATAATTCTAGTATTTAAAAATTAATGAAATTTTCATAGATTCAAGTAGACATTATAATTAAGTGATGGGATCAATTAGATTAAATTTGACCGTTTTATTTTAAAAGCAAGGTCAGGTCAAGGTCATTATCTTTCTCCTTGACCGTAAGAATAAAAAAATAACTGTTGCCAATCATGCGATGCCTACTTCTATTTCAAAAGATTAAATATTTTTCTTTTTGCATAAAAAGATATTACCATATAGGGTCTATCAGATGATACTACCAAATTGACGTAAATAATTTAACTAAAATAGATATTGGCTAATCCGAATTTCCTCTTTTTTTTCTAAGATTTTAGGATATATTAGTTATTTCTGTATGCTTCGTATATTTAAATTTTTCTTATTTTTACATATGGTAAAGTAGTCATATACAGATACAGATTGATACAAAAACAAAAAGTTTTGACCGTCTACTAAGAGAGAAAAAAACACCTTTTACGCAGTTTTTGCTCAAATCTGTATTTAGATTGGAAGCTTTTAAAAGTTAACAAAATTGTAGTTTGTTTGGGAAATCATATTTATTTGATATATTTTAAAACTTCAGTCCATTATTATTAATTTTATTTACATTTGAAATTTTCTTTAATCCTTTGATTGTTAACTAAATTCATTGTTCTATAGTAATTTTGAGAAGCAGAAAAGGAGATATTTTCATACGCCGCCGTTCCGCCAAAAATATAGTCCCTGCTAGATTTCAAACTCAATTTACAATTTTTATTTTAAGTTGTACAATTATGTCGAGGAAAGAAAAATATGATCTTTTAAATCCCTTACATCTAAATATTTAAGACATATAAGCAAATATACTTTGAATATTTCATCTAGTCAGAAACCAGACAAGAATCCATCCTCAAGGCTCATTATTACAACTGAATTTTAGAGGAACTTGGTTTTAATTCTAAATCTGGAAATCAGACTTATAGTTCACTTTTTAAGGATGAAATTCTTCAAAATCACATTTAAGTCTTTAAAACTTTTAACATTAAAGTCAACAAAAATGAAGTCGATCTACCCTACTATACTGGATTTCTCAACGTCATAAAAATCCATACAAACAAAGATAATTTCCGGGTCCAGCAACTGTTCTACAAATCCCCAAAAAATATTTTAATTGCTGTAAATTAAGGCTTTTTGATATCATAGACAACTGTTTCTTTAATGAAAATGGGACTGGAAATTTTCATATTTTGTGAGTGGTCATCTACAAAATTACTTGGTATAAAATCACTCTGATTCTACAAGTACTCAGAGGTTGATTTTAAAAGGATGCCGGAGTTCCTTATTAACAATATCTACATGTGTGTAGTCTTTGAAGACCGGGTCTTCCAACAATCAGTTGAAATTATGATGGGAACTCGCTGTGCTCCTTTATTAGCCGACATGTTTTTATATTTCTATGAAGCAGAATTTATTCAAAAACTTATACTTGAGAAGGAAAAACACTTGCTATGGCTTCAAGTCAACATTCAGAATATATCGACGATGTTTTATTAATTAACAGTAGATACTCGTACTTCCACTCATATGTCGACTCGATATATCCCAATTAACTCAAAATAAAAAGACACCAAATAGCCTGCCACATCTTTTTTCATATTTGGATGCATTCCTGATAATAGATGATAAGGGCCAACTAACAACTAAACTGTATAACAAATGAGATGACTTCAGCTTTTCCATAGCCAACTTTCCTTAAGTATGTACATGCAGATATATTCCAATATCATCTGAATATGGTGTTTATGTCTTCTATCTTACTCGATACTCAAGAGCATTCTCTGAGTATGATCAAGTTTTAAACCGATGCAGGCTACTGACCAATAAATTGATGTTACGAGGATTTCAACAACCTCGTTCAAAGTCAGCATTTTGTAAATTCTTTGGTCGTTACTGGTATAATGACCTCGTTAGCAAATACAACCTATCATAGTGTTATAATTTTACTGCCATATTTCATATCAATTGCTAGGCTTTTGTTTTTATATTAATTTTGACTATGGAATATTCCGTTACCTGTTCATTTTCCGGGGCTCTGGTTTTTTTTTGTTTTTTTTTTTTTAGATCGATCACTTTTCTTTACCTATTCATATGTGCACCTCTTACCTTAGAAAAAGACGTTAATGGTAATCTTACAACAAAGCTTTATGATAAACGTGATGACGTTAACTTTTCAATCGTCAAGTTCCCTTACTTATCCAGCAATAAACCCTTATCACCTGCATATCTCAGTTCATTTGATAAGCAAGAGCAAGAACAATTTCTAAAAAGAGGTAAGTTATTGACAAAAAAGTTGATGAAACAAGACAGTCGCATTTAAAGTCATCATTTCGTAAGTTCTATGGTCGATACAATGGCCTTGTCAGCAAATACAATTTATCATTAAGTCAAATGCTGACTGATGTTTTTCATATTAATTTTTAGGCCATTTTTACACACTGAATTGTCGACGGATTTTTCCGTTATTTTCCGATCATGACAAGGAGCACACGGCGGGTGTGACCGGTCGGCAGGGGATGCTCACTCCTCCATGGCACCTGATCCCATCTCTGATGTCTTAGAGGTCCGTGTTTGCTCTGCTCCTATTTTGTAATGTTTAATGGACTTTTGAGCTCGAATACTGTTCGTTATCTTCACATATTTCATTCATTAGATATACGCGATGACATTTGCTTGAATAAAAGAAATCAAGACGTATCATTATAGAGACTTACAATATATATAGAATATGAACCAAGGAAATGATAGTCAAGATCCCCAAGAAAGGAGCTCTAAATAATTGTAACAACTGGAGAGGGATCACCTTGCTGTCTGTGCTGAGTAAGATCCTGAATAAAATAAAGAGTATGATAGTGGACAAGTCACTTAGGAATATAACAAGCTGGCTTCAGGAAGGGGCGAGATCTGCATATTCTGATGATCTTTGCACTCCGTAGCATCATCAAGCAGTGCACAGAGTGGCAGCGACAACTGTATGAAAATTTTCGTACACAGAGACAGCCTCTGGAACATCTTACGACACTATGGCAGTCTATTGGTACAAGAGTTTTTACAACTTCAGATGCATCATAGTGAGTAGCCACACCGCCTTTGGTGTCAAGACCGGCGTCAGACAAGGATGTTCTCTTTATCTTTGTCATTGATTGGGTTAAGAAAAAAACAACAGAAGACACTCCAAGAGGAATCCACTAGACCCTCTTCTCAACGTTGGAAGACCTGGACTTTGCAGATGATTTGAGATTGCTATCACACACCCAGGTGCAGGAAAAGACAGATAGTTTAAATACCTTTGGACGACAGGTGGGATGGAGAATCAAGAAGACAGAAATAATGGTCTAAACGTGGATGCACCTGCTCCTGTGAAAGTGAATGGAACAGATCTTCAACAGTTTTACCGATCTCAGCTGCAGTATCAAGCCTGAGGCACAAAGGAAGACATTTGCAGCAGAATAGGAAAGGCCAAGAGTGTTTTCAGGGGCATGAACAATGTCTGGCGATCAGCACCGACACCGACACCAGCACCAAGTTAAGTTATATCAGAACTGCGTTGTATATCTACACTCCTATATATGCTACAAAACGACAGAAAGCGACAGGATATTTTGATAATTTTTCAAAATGGCAGACGCTTGAGAATAGCTTATCAAGAATTCTGCCAAAGATCTCGACCTTTAAGATGTGACCTTTGGTCCACATGCATTCTGACGCACGTTTAGGTCATGGGCAAGAATACTCTATAGCGATAAACTTTACTCCAGTAAACGATTTCAAAATTAAATCCTGAACTCGTTTACAACTTCCATTGTCTGATTACATTGGTCTTTGGTGGATATGACACTAATATAATCTGGAGTGAAGACTAACACCAACATTTATAATGAGCATGAAGTAGGGTCCATGACTGCTTGATGAAAAATATGCCCTATATTTTCATAAAGATGAAAAGGGTGTAGATAATAAACAGTTATCATACTCAGATCCTATAGAAATGGGAAACATTTCAAAAATATGGACCCCTGGGATCCCAGTGATGGGATCGGGTGCTGAAAATGAAAGAACATCCGTTGTCGACCAGTCACACCCCCCACGGCCCTAGTCAAACACTGGTCTAACAATTGGTGTGAAACATTTCAGTCGACCAAACTATAGGTTGTCCTTGCAAATAAGGTCATTTCAAGGACCACAGGGTTTTCAAAAAACAAAATGCTGCTTTAAAGGTTGAAAAGCATGTTTGTATATATATATATATATATATATATATATATATATATATATATATATATATATATATATATATATATATATATATATATATATATATATATATAAATATAAAATACTTTTATGGAAATTAGTTGAATCTGATTCGTCGAGAAACATTTGTTAAAAAACACTATTACCCGCTGAATAATGGAGCTAGCCACGCCCTCCAGCGTAGCAACAGTTAACATTGCTTGACGACGTGTGGTATTCCAAAAAATATTGACTGTGCAGAATTTATGCGGGCAAGGTTCACTGTAATATGTATTTGTATAAAACATTCAGTATAATATGATATATATCGCATTTAGTTGAGTGTAACATTGAAAATTTTCACCCCTCAAAAACCATTGTCAACCTCGGCTGCGCCTCGGTTGACAGTGGTTTTCTTGGGGTGAAAATTTTCAATGTTACACTCAACTACATGCAATATTTATATAGTATATCACAAACAAAATGCAATTGTTTATGCTAGAAATTTTGAGATATTTATGCATATTGAATTTCAATGTTTATTGCATGTTGCTATGGGATAATTTATTGTGAGGTAGAATGATGAGTAAAATCAAATCTTTACGATCATTTATCAACCTCAACTATAACAATGATAGTTAGGAGGGGTGGGCTTGTTCACTATCTTGATCTCGCTTACTAGAGCACATGTTCGTTATCACCAGGAAAACACGTCAATAAACGCATGCAAATATAGTCATGTAATAGACGGGTGGTCATTTAATTATCCTAATCAATAAGGACCATTTAAGGGAATGGACAAGCACTTTCCAAGTAAGTATAGTAATCATTGTCTTTTTCCTGGCTTGGTTTCTGATTTTGAAAAAACACCAGACCGTTCAGTAACAACAGGTTCATATGAGTATACAAGGGTGATCCAGAAATTTTCAAATTTTCTTACAAGTGAGAAAAATAGGAGCTAAAAAAGAAAGAAAAACGACCAAAATTGAAAAACTTATTCGTGTATATAGTTTTCGTTTTAAAGGAAAGGTCCACTTTTTCGGCGGTGGGGTAGGTGGGAGAGATGTTGAAAGCCATTTTCTACGGAGTTTATTGTGTCATTTAAAATAATATTAAACAGTTGAGGGGGGATGTGATTCCTCTGTTGGATCCATTCAAGGCACATGTAGTTTTGGATTTTACTGAATATGAATTAAAATATGAAGCAGTGCTGCTCTGAGGGGGGAAATATTTGAGGAGCAGAGTTATTCTCTTATATTATAAAATAAAACTTTAGAGTAAACACATGAAAAGGAAAATCTTTTTTGTTCCTATCATCAAAAGAATGTGACCGCATGCAGAACCCAGATAGGGTAAATACACACATTGTGTGGCCTTATCTAACCCTTCAAGGTCACGTGGCCATTTGCATGAGTGAAGATACTCAGTATCATTATAGTATTCTACTCTTCTGAAAAATAAGGCATTCTAAACATTGATTTTTTTTTAATCTTGTCAAAAATCTTTTATTTAAATTTTTTGATCTAGTATATATCAGAAATACAAACGGAGAGGAAAAAGAAAGAAAAACAAGACGAAACAAAGATAATATTTTTTTCAAAAAATCATAGAAGAAATTGATCTAGGTGATGTTTTAATTTCATTGTGTGTCATCCCTTAGGATTTCATTGAATGCAAAAGATTTCATTTAATTAAAAAGATTTTATCTAATGAAAAAGATTTTATTTAATGAAGAAGATTTCGTTTAATGAAAAAGATTTTATTTAATGAAAAAGATTTTATTAATGAAAAAGATTTTATTTAATGAAAAAAGATTTCATTTAATTAAAAAGATTTTATTTAATGAAAAAGATTTCATTTAATGAAAAAGATTTTATTTAATGAAAAAGATTTTATTTAATGAAAAAGATTTCATTTAATTAAAAAGATTTTATTTAATGAAAAAAGATTTTATTTAATGAAAGAGATTTCATTGAATGAAAAAGATTTCTTTTAATGATAAAGATTTCATTTAATGAAAAAGATTTTATTTAATGAAAAAAGTTGAATATAACGATAACTGTAAACAATACGAATCGTGAGGGCAAAAACGCGGACCCCTGAAAACGCCGGAGGTGGGATCAAGTGCATAGGAGGAGTAAGCATCCCCTGTCAACCGGTCACATCCGCCGTGAGCCTTCTATATTGATAAGGTAAACAGACTTATCCGTACTAAGTCAAAATTCCAATAAAACAATGGTTAACAATGAGTATGAAACATGTCAGTCAAAATTCGACCCAAAGAATGCTTGTATTTGCAATGTGAGCATAACTATTACGTATTTGCAAAATGCTCTTTAAACGAGACCATTGAAAGTACTGTAAAATCAACTTATTTTTCAGTAGCATGTCTCGGTTTAGAAATTGATTGAACTCGGAACATGCTTTACCGAATCAGCTGGGAGACAAACACCGTAGCCAGGTGAAAGCGGAATATAACTACAAAAATAGTGGGAGTTGATGATCGAAAAGCTGATGACATCCCGTTTGTCATATTTAGTTGTAAGATGGCCATTAACGTCTTAAGTGAGTAAAACATCCAAATATGGAACAGCTAAGGCAAACTCTGTGATGTCTATTCTTTAGAGTTATTTATATTTCCCACTGTTTCCTCTGTGATAACTCTTTGAAAGTTAAGTGTGTTGATTTCTCGATATTTAATATTTACAACTGACTATAAATTTCGCCAAGTTAAAGGTCAAGTGCTTAATATGTTATTGTGTCTGAGTCATTGGGCGGGGTCTATGGAAATTGACAGGAATGCCTCGTGTATTTCATATCTATTAGACACCTTTTTAAATTTATATTTACATTTTTATTTCACATATAAATTTAGATATAAGGAATCCTTATACAGTGATTCCTTATATCTAAATTTATATGTGAAATAAAAATGTTTTCATTTTTCAAAGAGTTATCACAGAGAAAACAGTGGGAAATATAAATAACTCTAAAGAATAGACATCACAGAGTTTGCAATATCCAACAAACTAGAAAGTGATTCCTTAAATATCAAGTCATCAAAAGAATGAAAATATCTATTGTTCATTGATCAAACAAAATATATTTTGTTGTCAAATAAAAGGCCACAGCAAGAGTTTTCGACATATTGAAAAATTTGAAAAAAAATTGCTTTATAAGAATATAAAACAGATCGGCTAATAAAGGCCCATAAAATTTGCAACAGATTGTTGGAGGTCCTGATCTCGAAAGACTACATATTATATATTTCAATGGGGAAGTCAAGCATATTTCAATATCACCTTCAGAATACTTTTTATTTAGATTTAGAATGATTTGTAACAAAGTAATTCTGTAGATGACAAGTCACTTGATATGAAAATTTCCCGAGTTCTATTTTTATTGAATTGAAGTCTATGGAGTTGAAACTAAAAGTGAAATTATACTTTGAAAAATCTGCATTGGCTTCTATGCAGAGTTTGCCTTTTAAAAGAAGTGAGCATATTTGAGAATAATCAACAAAAATGAAAGAAGTTAATTACTGTTACTAGAAATCTGGAATGTAAATCACTGATTGGTTATGATTGTTGTGGCAGATTATCCCGATTTTTGAATGATATCGGAACAGGCATTTACATGCAGGATACATCTTTTTGTTTTGTGTTAAATACATGTAATCTTCTACCAATATTTTTTTGTATGAATACGTTTTAATTTGTATGATTCAAAATTGTTACAGACATTAGATAAGTATGCATTTCAGAAGTTTTTTCAGCTAACAGGTATTTCTTTTTGTTTTGTGTTAAATACATGTAATCTTCTACCAATATTTTTTGTATGAATACGTTTTAGTTTGTATGATTTAAAATTGTTACAGACAGTAGATAAGTATGCATTTCAGAAGTTTTTTCAGCTAACAGGTATTTCTTTTTAATGAAAACTTCGATGAATTAATCAATGTAGCTAAGATTCAAAAGTATTTTAGATTTTGCAGTAGTTGCGGGAGTTTTTTCTCTCCTAAATATGATGCTGATATATGTTGATTACAATCCATTCATTTAAATGTTGATTTATTTTTAATTGTAATATTTAATGCTCCAATCAGTCCGTCTACAACTGTAATACTGTGATTGAATTCAAAATTGTGTGGCAGGTTAAACGGGTTCAAACACTTTTTGATCAGCTTAATCTTGAAATGTATTTAGATTACATTTCAAAATTTAAAGTCACGAAATAAATCCATACGTATATAAATAAATACTTGACTTATTTGTACGTTCAAGAATTGATAAAAACAGATGAGAATATTGAAAAAGTAAGATAAGAAACATGAACGTGTTATCTATGAAAAAAAAAATTCGGTCACCAGATAAACTTAGCTGTTGTCCGCGTTGTGTGTGGATCATTTTCTTTGGCCTATTAACCGTAGAAATCATGTCACAAATCATCCAGGGCTAAGAGAAATTTAATAAAAAGTTTAAACAGAAATGAGAGCGTCTTTCAGAAACAGAAAATTGAGTAGCATATACATGTATATCATTCAAAAGTTTAATTTAGAATCAATATTACAGTGGGGGGAGAATTTATTTAGCAAATGTCGAGTAGCTTTTATTGACATTTGTATTTATCACTGTCCGAAGGGAGTAGGGGTTATATTAAGTATGTCCGAAAGTTTTAGTACTTTAATGTCATATATGGCGTATTTTTGATAAGTTCAGATATCCAAAATGAGAAATATCTTTCTATTTGATTTATTACTTTATATAAAGATAGGACTTTTCTGTAAATTACACAATCTAAATCAACCGAGTTTCAAAGATATAAAAAAAAATTAAAACAATAACCGATTTATTTGCCGACTCCACATTTAAATAAAAGACACATTTAAAGTCAATTTAATTATAGAAATGTGAGGTTATTCAAGTTCAAAATTGGTGAAAAAATTCAATTTGAACGTAAATAACATTATATCATGTATATCTACACTCAATCTCGTATCATCATTTTTTTTTAGCTCAGATACGCCATATATAGCTTTAAAGATAAATGTATTACATTAACTATTTCAAAAACAGACAATCAAGCCTTTCTGTGAATTGAAGATTCAAATGTGATCAAACAATAAATTCCAGATGCAGTGTTTACAAACATGTTTAATTAATATGTAAACATAAAAAAAATGCTTCCTTGGTTTGTAAGTGTGTTATATATTTTTTAGCAATATTTTATACATTAAAGGGGGATATTATAAATATAGGATATCCCATGATTTGTGGTTGGATATGTTTTTTATTTAACGTGTTGTGTGTGCTTTAAAAACTCACAAAAATCACACAACTCGTTGGATAAAAATTATATCCAACAACAAATCATGCGAGATTCTTTTTATCACATGTTTTATACATCAGTATCAATGATTTACATTGTTTTCATATATGAATCCACACAATTTCACTTCATTACTTTCACACAAAACCCATTGTGACGTCACAGCATTGGGATATGAAAAAAATATCCAATGAGTAATATCCATGGGATAAAGAAGCAAACATGTGATAAATAAAGATAATTTATTGTTTATATTCATGTATGAATTATTCACGTATGTTAAATATTGTATGACTTTTCAACACTATATACAACTATTCCTCACGATAAATTAAAGAGCATATTTTTTGAAATCGTAGACAATAAAAATGGAACTCGCAAATCATATCAAGTGATTAATCATCTAAAACATTGTTAAAATCCACACACAAGTACTCTGGGGTTGATATTAAAAAGATGCACGAGTTTCTCAATGACAATATCTATGTAATCTTTGGACAACAGGTCTTTCAACAATCTGTTAAAATTCCCATGGGTAATAATTGAGCCTCTTTATTACCTGACCTGTTTTGTATTCTTATAAAGTAGAATTTATTTGAAATGACGTGACCTTCAATCATTTAAATGTATCAATGACTTTTTGTTCAATGAGCAATATTCATTTTCATTCATTTTTTAACTTGATATGTCTGATCTTGATAAAAAATTATGATGGTGTAAATGTCTACCAGCTGATTCGATACACAAGAACATGCTTTGCATACGAACTATTTCAGTTACTAACAAATAAGTTGATGAGACATGTATAACAACAATTTCGTTTAAAATCAACATTTCGTATATTCTATGGTCGATTTAATACATTGTTTCTTAATACAACCGTTAAGACTAGTTGAAAATTGACTATTTTGATACAAATTGGTAGGCATTGATTTTCAAACTTAATTCTCTGTGTATATTCAATCAAGACAAAGGCTCAAGACGGAGAATGCTTACTCCTTCATGGTACCTGATCCCACCCCTCATGTTTTCTACTAGGGACTATTCTTTGGGGATATGAGACAAACAAATGTGGATCAACAATACAAGTTATGATACCTGTTTTTGTGATGTCAAGTTTCGTTCTTCATCTATGTGGTTTTTCATATTTGTACACATTTCCCCTGAAATGGGGAAAAGCATGGTGTTCATAAAATGTATCTTTCATCCAACTATGCATTACAATTATGGTTGAAAAGGCTCAATGATTCTGGTAAAGAACTATGAATTGTTTTATAATGCTCATTACTTCTGTGACCTAAAATGGAAAAAATAGATGTAACAATATATCAATAAAAATATCTATATTTTTGTTTCTAGAGAAATCCGCTCGTTTTCGATCGATATCTGAGACCAATCCAGTTTTCACAGTGGAAGCAGAGATAGACAAAGTCAAAGATTCTGGTGATTTATCCCCACCGACTGAAATCGACACAAACTATTTACACCCTAATGCCAACTCAGGTACGTTAAGGGGGAACTATGTCGTTCTACGTCAAAACAGCTGTGTTTGACGTCACAGAACTCTTTTCTTATGTACCGTTGAGAGGGTTTGCAGTTGACCTTTGCATAGCTGCAGAACTGTAGCGTTATTATACCCCACGCAACAAGTTGGTATAATGTTTTTGACCCGTCCGTCAGTCAGTCAGTCAGTGTGTCAATCAGTCAGTCCGTCAGTCCTGTTTTTTTTGTCAGCGCAACTCCTCTTAAACCGCTGCACAGAATTTCGTCAAACTTTGCAGATATTTAGGACACAATGTGTAGATGTGCATATTACCAGATAATTCCGATTCCTTTATTTTTTCTGGGAATTTCGGCACTTTTCAACTTAGATTTTTGGCCATATCTTGAAAATAGAGATGAACAGTTTGTCAGCGCAACTTCGCTTAAACCGCTGCACAGATTTTCGTCAAACTTTGCAGATATTTAGTACACAATGTGTAGATGTGCATATTACCAGGAAATTCCGATTCCATTTATTTTTCTGGGAAGTTCGGCACTTTTCAACTTAGATTTTTGGCCATATTTTGAATATAGAGATGAACAGTTTGTTAGAGCAACTCCTCTTAAACCGCTGCACAGAATTTGGTTAAACTTTGCAGATATTTAGTGCACAGTGTGTAGATGTGCATATTACCAGGAAATTCTGATTCCTTTATTTTTTCTGGGAATTTCGGCACTTTACAACTTAGATTTTTGGCCATATCTTGAATATAGAGATGAACAGTTTGTCAGCGCAACTTCGCTTAAACTGCTGCACAGATTTTCGTCAAACTTTGCAGATATTTAGTACACAATGTGTAGATGTGCATATTACCAGGAAATTCCGATTCCATTTATTTTTCTGGGAAGTTCGGCACTTTTCAACTTAGATTTTTGGCCATATTTTGAAAATAGAGATGAACAGTTTGTCAGAGCAACTCCTCTTAAACCGCTCCACAGAATTTGGTTAAACTTTGCAGATATTTAGTGCACAGTGTGTAGATGTGCATATTACCAGGAAATTCTGATTCCTTTATTTTTTCTGGGAATTTCGGCACTTTACAACTTAGATTTTTGGCCATATCTTGAATATAGAGATGAACAGTTTGTCAGCGCAACTCCTCTTAAACTGCTGCACAGAATTTGGTCAAACTTTGCAGATATTTAGTAAATAGTGTGTAGATGTGCATATTACCAGGAAATTCTGATTCCTTTATTTTTCTGGGAATTTCGGGACTTTTCAACTTAGATTTTTGGCCATATCTTGAATATAGAGATGAACAGTTTGTCAGCGCAACTCCTCTTAAACCGCTGCACAGAATTTGGTCAAACTTTGCAGTTATTTAGTACACAGTGTGCAGATGCAATACTAGGAAATTCCGATTCCATTATTTTTGCCTTAAGAGTTTTGCCTATTATTGAAGAAATTTTCCAGCTAGTTAATAATGAAATCCAATGGAATCAGCTTTTGTAATGAAATTTTTTGTGAAATATTTTATGACCTTAAAAGACCCCTGTTGATTTTGAGATCAAAATATTAATGATTTAACACACACACACAAAATCTTGGATAGTTCTCACACACACCCCTCTCAAATTGGTGCTTTGCCTTAAATAATTTCATAAGTACAGCATATAAACAAATTCATATGACTACATCATAATTTTGTTTCCATCAATTATTTAAATGTGTAAATTGTCATGTGTTGGACATGGACTTACACTCATTAACAAATCGAAATCACTGAGGAATTTAAATAACAGTTTGTCAGCATAACTCCTGCACTGAATTTCCTGAAACTTTGTAGGTATTTCAGACATAATGTATAGATTTGTATATTACCAAGAAATTTTGATTCCATCATTTATCTAGAAACTTCAGCCCAATTAAATTTGTAACATACAAAGATTTGAATGTCCTTATATGCAAGAAGTTTTGATGTAATAATTTTTTTGCAAGTAATGCCCCTTTTTGAATTATACTGTGTATTTAAAATGCACTGTGCCATTCATTACTTGTTGCATTGTCGAGTTTCGGGGGAGCATGGGGTATGTGAGCTTGCTCAATTTTTCTTTCAGGGTTATATATATAGTCTTTGACCATGACGCTACGGATCCCGTAAAGCAAATACGGTGCAATTTACGGAGCAAGATTTTCTGCGCACAGTTGGGTAGAATTTCTCCACTTTCCAGCATTGTTCAATCAACTACCTTTCACTCTCTAATTCCAGACGTATATTTTATTCAATCTGTATATTTTATTCACCTCCTAACCCTTTATAATCGTCTCTACAGACCAATAAACTCGTTTGTTTTGATTTTTTGTCGGATGGCAGAAAATTCAAAACAACCGGGTTTATTGGTCCGTAGAGACGATTATAAAGGGTTAGCAGGTTGGTAATGGGATATGTCTAGAATTAGGCAATGAAAGGTAGTTGATTGATCAATGCTGAAAAGTGGAGAAATTCTCGCCATCTTGCGCCTTAAATTGCACCGTATTTGCATTACGGGATGCCATTATTTATGGCATATTGTAACTGTCTTGGTCAAACTTCAAGGTCAAGTGGTCAAAAATCATAGCATATTTAAAAAGGTCTTGCCACAGGTTAAATTTTTGAAAAGTAGTTTAAACTAAAGGTCAAAGTCACGGGGTCAAAAACCATACTACAATTAGAAAGGTCTTGTAACAGGTAATGTACTTGTGTAATATGAAAGCCCTACATTTTCTCATTGAAATTTTATAACCAATTTAAAGTAATGTAAAAATTTTTGAAAAGTAGGTCAAACTTCAAGGTCAAGGTGTCAAAAATCATAGCACATTTGGAAAGGTCTTTCTACAGGTAATGTACATGTCAAATATGAAAGCCCTATCTCTTCTTAATCAAAAGTTATAAGCAACGATTAAATTTTTGAAAAGTAGGTCAAACTTCAAGGTCACGGGGTCAAAAACCATAGTGCATTTAGAAAGGTTAAGGTCACGGGGTCAAAAATCATAGTATATTTAGAAAAGTCTTGTCACTTGTAATGCATATGTGAAATATGAACGCCATATCTCTTCTCATTCAAAAGTTATGACCAGGGTTAAAGTATTTGTGACAGACGGACAGACTGACAGACGAATGAGATTTAATGTCTCCTCGCTTTTGCGGAAGCGGGGGACAATAACAGTTATGGCAAAGATTATAGCTTCTCAAAAACATCAAGATCATGAGGTCAAATATCATGATACAGACCGAAAGGTCTTGTCACAATGCACATGTGGAAAAATATATATATAAAAAAAAAAACAGAGTATACGATGGGAAAGGTCTTGAAACAGGTAATGCACATATCAAATGTAAATGCCATATCTTCTCTACATCAAAAGTTATCAGCAATGTCAATTAGGTCAAACTTCAAGGTCATGGGGTTTAAAATCATAGTACATTTGGAAATGCTTGTCACAGGTAATGCACGTGTGAAATTTGAATGCCCTATGTTCGCTCCTTCAAAAGTTAGCAACACTGATAAAATGTTTGAAAATTAGATCAAACTTGAAGGTCAAGGTAAGGGAGTCAAATGTCATAACACATTCGGAAACATTCTGTCACAGGTAATGCACATGTCAAATAAAAAAGCCCTATCTTTTCTCAATCAAAAGTTTTAAGTAAAGAAAAACTTTTTGAAAAGTAGGTCAAACCTGAAGGTCAAGATCACGAGGTCAAAATCATAGTATATTTAGAAAGGTCTTATCACTGGTAATGTACATGTCAAATATGAAGCCCTATCTTTTCTCATTCAAACAAAGATAAAATTTTTGAAAAGTAGGTCAAACTTAAGGTCAAAGGGTAAAAAATCATAGTATATTTGGAAAGGTCTAGTCACAGGTAATATACATGTGAAATATGAAAGCCGTATCTCTTCTCTTTCAAAAGTTATGGCCAATTTAATGTTATGTTAAATTTTTAGAAAATTAGGTCAACACTCAAGATCAAGGTCATGGGGTCAAAAACCATAGTATATTTGGAAAGGTCTTGTCACCGGTATTGTACATGTGTAATATTAAAGCCCTATCTTTTCTCATCCAAACAGAAGTTATGGCCAATTTAAAGTAATGTCAACATTTTTTTGATAATTAGGTCAAACTTCAAGGTCACGGGGTCAAAAACCATAGTATATTTGGAAGGTCTTGTCACAGGTAATATACATGTGAAATATGAAAGTCCTAACTCTTCTCTTTCAAAAGCTATGGCCAAGGTTAAAGTTTTTGTGACAGACTGATATACGGACAGACTGACAGACGAATGAGATTTAATGTCCCCTAGCTTTTGCAAAAGCGGGGACAATGATCATTATATAATTTATCATTAACCCTTCCAATTTTATTTACCTTTGTGGTTTTTATTATGGATACAGATCAATCTGAGACTGACAGCGGATACGAGAGTTGTTTGTCCTCGAGAAATGCTTCCGCTACCTGTAGTCTTCCGCAGTCCAGTGTTTCCAGGGCCGACTCACTCAAATCCAGCCCCAAACCAACCGGTACGACATGTATTATTGATATTCTTATATACATGTATATATATCGAATTCCAAATTGTTTTTGAGAGGTCTTAAAAGGCTTCGGTATTTTTTTTTTTTTTTTTTTGAAATAATAAAATAGCGAACTTACTTGGAGAATAAGATTTAAGAAAATAACCTTTCTACAATGTATATAAATTGTGTATTTTTGGGATTTAACTTTAAGTATACTTATGATTTGACCTAGATTAGTATCTATAGCCAAAGAATTCATCTTGTCTGTAAGTTTCGTACGCTATCCTGGTATATGTTCTGGACTCTCTGAGACAAAGTCTCAAGCAACATTGTCTTAAAAAGTTAAATATGACGTCTTTTCCTACATGTAGTACATGTATATTATTAGTCACGTGGTTTTATTATACAGATACATATAAAACAAAAGAAAAAAAAATCTTTCTTTTTTGTGGATTTTTCATTTGAACACATTGTAAATTTGTAGTAGAAGAAAAATTTATAAAACAAAAAGTAATAAAAATTCCGGGGGTAGGGGGTCCTGTCTACAATCACTTTGTTCGGGTAACCAGAATTTTACGGGCCCAAGCAAGACGGTTCCCTTATTTGTAACGAAAATGTTGAACGACTTTACAATATAGAAGTGCCACAAAAAATGTATCTCCCCCCCCTCCCCCAGTTTGCAATTATTAAATATTTAGGATGAAAATAAGAAAGGCATGTGTTAGTAAGTACACATGTATAAACTAAAATTCTAAATTAAAAAAAACAAATTCTTAACATATTTCTGAAGTAACCATATTTTGAGAAAGGTTGTTAGGGTGGGATAATTTCCGGCATGCTATAATGCATACCACACAACAATTTCCTGTCTTTGGTACAATCGTCGTATACTTCCTTTCATAATGTAATTAAAAAATAAGAATGTCAGCAATCTTTTGTAGACTTTCTTAAAGTTTGCATCCGTTTTGCAGAAAATATACGCAAATACAACAAAGTTTGCAAAAATGTTGTTCATGATAGGTGGGCGAAGAATATCAAAAAATTCTGAGGACCTGTCTGAACTTTTGCCCGGAAGTCCTGACTTTCTCAGAGCCGGAAGTCCAGAAAATCTCAGAAAAGGGGTTATCAGAAGATGTCCTACAGATGTTTGCTACTCACCCGCCCTTTGTGAGAAATTTAAACGAGGTAAAATAAATTTTAAAAAAAAATATCAAAGTCAATGTCTCTTTTTCTATATTACAATAAAATTACCTTTTTGTGGAAAAATGAATAGAATATAATTATGTCGAATAGAAATTTCTTAAGGTGTAATTTCACTTTTAGATCTAGAGCTTAAATATGTACTACATAAATATTTTTATTTAAATAAATGGTATAAGCTAGTGTTTCTTCTTTGTTCGTTTTAAATATCAATATCTGATAAAATATAAAATTTAAGTACACTTGTTTTGATTTATCAGGACCCTCTCTGGGCTTCAGACATAGTTTTCAGAGAGAACGGAGTTATTCTTCATGCTCCAGTGCAAGCGGTACCGACGGGGTCAATATTAGTCTCCATAACATCATTGGCAAAAAAGGAACCGGAAAAGGACAGTTCCGGAATGCTACCTCTCTTTCGCATGTCAGTTCCGGATCTATCATAGTAACAGATATCATAAACTGTAGGGTAACACTATTTCACATGAGTGGACGTGTTGTTAATGAAATCAGCACTGGGCCTGGTTCCGAACCTTGGTCAACCGCTGTGTTACCAAATGGTAACTTTGTTGTATCCTTGCAAAAACCAGGTTCTCTAGCGATATTTGATGCGAAGGGAGAATATATTAAAGACATCGCCGGCCACCTGCTGGTGAAACCATCTGGGGTAGCAACCGATAGAAAGGGTAGAATAGTTGTCAGCGACGTCAACACTGACTCTGTTTACATACTTGATGAAGACGGCGAAGTTTTGAAAGGCTTGGGACAGGAACCGGATGTGCCCCTGTCTTTTGAAGAACCTCGATATGTTGAGGTCACGTGTAATGATAAGATTCTAGTCTGTGATTCTGGCAAGCACTGCGTAAATGTGTTTGACTCCGATGGAAACTTTCTTCACAAATTCGGATCTTATGGACAAGATTCGGGGCAATTTCGCTTCCCCTATGGAATCACGTCAGATTTTGAGGAGAATATATACGTAGCAGATCACTACAACAATCGAGTATCGATGTTCTCAATTTCCGGGGAATTCCTCTGCCATATTTTAACGCCTTGTATGAAACTTAAGCGGCCTCAGGGCCTTGATATGTGGGATGGAATGGCAGAGTCGGTCCTGTTTGTGACCCACGGAGAAATGAAGGCACAGGAAGTCGTGGCCTTCAAAATCATAATGGGTTCAAAAAATAGATTCAAGAAATCAATGGAGGTTTATATCTGACATGTTCTAGTTGACTTTGTAAGAAGGAGGTTAGAAGCAAAATTTTAAATTCCTACATAAAATATTTAGAGAAATCAGAATTATACCAGCGTGATGTTATAGAAATCCCAACAATATGTGAACGTTTTAATTGCTCGAACGAGAATACCACTATTACTGTAATATAAATCAAGTTACAGGAACGCCAAAGTGTAAAAAGACTCTCTTGTAAATGTGTTTGTACATAGAAAAGTTTTTTTATCTTAATGTTTATGATAATATATATTATACGTAAATATTGTAAGTATTGTTCTAAAGACATTATTGATTAAATTACCTGTCTTTTTTATAATGTATTCATAGCATTGAAATGTTGAAAATTATTTTAAAGTTCAATAACAGCGCAGCCTTAGCAACTGATTATATTCCAAGTATTAATCTAAAAGCCTGTATGAAAGTTTGTTACCGCGGCTGTAACACCTTTACAGTGATTTTTATTTAAATCAAACAAGGAGAGTAAATTTTGCATGATGATGTTTAATTCGATAAAAACAAACATGTAAATAGCACCAACCACATTGTATAAATGTTATATGAATGCAATTTGTTCTATCCCCTACCCCCTGCCCGGATTGTGTTTAAGGACAATGCGAATGCCGCTAAGCCACGCCAAGATTCTCTACAAGTAGGCTCTATCTGGTTCACCGGAAGTACAAACCCATGTGACCCAGTATCACGAAGTTCAATTGTGTATGCGTATTTCACTCCAGCTCCACCCTTGACCCAGTCGTCAGAACCACCAGCCGCTGAATCTGAATTTAAATAAAGTTTAAAAGTTTAAATACCTTTAGTATGTAGCAGCTACATTACAACTATTTTTTACACTTAGTAAAATCGTTCAAATCTCTACGCGCAAAAGAGACTTATTTTTTGACTGCGGAGACTTACATAACACGTTTGTTGATGAGCCTACCAAGTAGGTGGTCCCATACACTTCTCCAAGAGCAGCGGTCCCAGTCTTAGCAGCAGCATCCTATATCAACAATTGAAATATTTGTTTAAAATTAATTTTGCTTCAATAATGAAAAAATGTGAAGATAACGAACAGTGATCAGTCTCAAAGTTCATTTAAACACTACAAATTATGAGCAGAGCCAGTATGGACTTCTGAAAACAGAGGTTGGATCAGGTGCCATGGAGGAGTAAGCATCCCCTACCGACCGATCACATCCGCCGTGTTCTCCCTTCCATGATCGGGTAAAATAACAAATGCAGATGAAATAGTAGAGGAAAGATATATTTAGGAGTCTTGGATACATCATATAACAAGATGTATTTGTGAAACACTGATGCCCCCGTATGGCAACTTATATCAAAGGTTAAACTTTCTCAAAGGCAAATCAATTATGTTGGTACCCAAAGTAAGGTCTTGTCCCGAGAAATATACCTGTGAAATATGAAAACCCTAGCAGTAACCATTGAATAAAAGGTTAAAGTTTTTTCAAAGTATGTCAAACATCAAGATCAAATGGTCAAAATTTATGGTGCCCAAGGAAAGACCTTCTCCCAATGAACAGGTGAAATACGAAAGCCGAAGCACCATTCGTTCAAAAGTTCTGTCCAAGGTTGAAGTTTTTCAAAAATAGGTCAAACTCCAAGGTCAAAGTCAATGGATTACAATTGTTAGTATCCAAAGCTTGTCACAAGGAATTGACATGTTAAAAATGAAAGCCAGAGCACCAACTGTCCAAGGTCAAAGTTTTCCAAAAGTAGGTCAAACTCCAAGATCAAGGTCAAAGGTTCAAAGTTGTTGGTATCCAAAAAAGGACTTGTCACAAGGATGACACATGTGAAGTATGAAAGCCCTAGCACCAACCGTTCAGAAGTTATGGCCAAGGTTAAAGTTTTCCAAAAGTAGGTCAAACTTCAAGGTCAAAGGTTCAAAGTTGTTACTATTCAAAGGAAGGTTTAAAGGAGGACTTTTATTTGGACAGCCCCTTTTAACAAGAGCTTGTAAAAACATCCTCTACTCTACTGTTTTAAAGAGTCACAGTCAAAAAATTTAAATAAACATATGAAATTTTTTTTATAACAATGCGGAAATATATGCTCAAAGCGTCCTTATTTTCGCGAGTTAGTTCTATTTGGCGTTTATAAGCGAGAAAAAATATTCACAAAGAAGACGGGCGTCTTTGGCGATCATGTGTACGAAACATTTATAGTTTAAATGTCCATAATTTTGTATACCTTCTAATTTCAAAGTCATGTATTCTATAAATAAATGCACTTAGTTTATGACCAAAAAAAATCGAATTACATGTGTTTCAAAGCAATGAAGGTGTCCCTAGTAGTTCATTGTAATGATGTTTGCCTGTACCATGTGTATTCTGGACCGTAAAACTTTAGATATACGAGGGGTGATCAAAAAGTTCGCCAACTAATTGAATTACTTTCTTAAAAGAAATGAAATGGAGTTTTAGTGTTCATTATTTTTTAAAGTAGTCCTCTCCGATTTTAATGCACATCTGCCATTGTTCTGCCCATGCGCAAATCATGTGATCCAGGCGGTCACGTGACATGCTTCGTAGCAGTCTGTTCACGGAAGCTAAGAGATTTTTCCGAGTCTTATATTTCTTACCATGCAAGTAATTTTTTTATAACAAGAACAGACCATCTGTCAAGGATGGCCAAATCTTGCAATAGGATGGGTGGATAAGGATATCTCCTCCCAGAATTAGCATAGCGACCATCACAACCCGAGTCCTCTGTCTCAGGAGCGTCGTTTATTCAATGTGGAAAAAGTATGGCCGCCTTCACTTTTTTTCATATCTCATATGTTTAAAGCTAAAGTAAACGATATTTTAGGGATTTAATAATTATATTATTGCTCAGATATTCAACTATTTTTCTTATTGTAATTTGGCGATCTTTCAAAACAAATTGCTCAACTAAGGACACATCTTTTTACCGGCTTGCTTTCGCTGGGCAACAGAACAAACATCATTTTCAACCATCTCCCCGACTAAAACATTCAATCCAATTACTGATTGAACTTCTGGTAAGTCTTTTGTCTTCGTAAACCTTAAACAAATTATCATATTCTACTGCCAAGGAATTTCCGAGATATACGTTAAACTTTACAGCCGTTCGTTGCTCGAGTACGACTGAGTCAACCATTTTTTGTCACAAGTGACCTACATACTGACGTCATTTTCACATTGTGACGTCACAAACACGGAGCAAAACATTATTTAACATCTGCTATTTATAGAACATGTGTATGGCTATATGTGTGCTTAATTTCATTCTGATCTGAATCGTGGTTTTTGAATTATAGAGATAGTTCGCGAACTTTTTGATCACCTCTCGTATATATAATTTACGTTAGATGTTGCCAAAACATTGATACCTTTTTTCGTTATGGCGGAAAGAATCAGATTTTAAATCATCATCAAAATTACAAATAACTAGTAATAGCACTTCAATACACAAAAACAAGAAAAAGATGCCACTCTGAGTCCCTCTGGTGACAATATTCCTACTCCAGCAATTAGGAGTCAAAGAAATTACACCTTTCCTCTTTTGTCCCGAGTCAATATTGGGATAGTACTTTATAATACGACCATGATTGATAGCATTTAAAACTGCATTGATCACATTTATAATAAAATTTTCAAGTAAGACCTACCAAGTCTTGCCAGTCGGAAGGGAGAGCTGATGTAAATCCCCATGGATACAGCCACATCTGACCATACGCGTGGTACGTCAGATAAGCTAGCATGTTTTGTTTATTGTCTGTGATGAACGTGGAAACCGCCTGACTCTCTTTCTCAGAGAACGCCTGAGAACCAGAATACACATCCGAACACACGTTACTACTTCCGCCGATCGCTGAAATGTAAAGATCATTGCCTTATTAGGAAAGTTATACCTAGTGTAATATATCGCTATTGAACCTAATTCTCGTAAATTATTATCGCTTTAGATGAAAACTTTATTTATTTGTTAATGATTTGGTTCCACACCTAATCAAAGAATGGCCTGGACCCTGAACTTTATATTTTTCTTCCCCTATTTTCTATTTGTTACAAAGAAAAATAATCAAAACTGATTCTTTAGTTTAATAGAAAAAGCTGAATATCAAAAACATGTTCAGAAATTGGTCACTTAGGTGACCTAAAAGAGAACTAAAAATAGAAATTGTTTTTCAATGAAGAAATCTTACATGGATTCCACTGATATCCAAAGTTCCTGTTCAGGTCTGTCCCGAAGCATTTCCTCCGATGCTCTACTCGGTTTTTCCTCCAGAGTCTGTACTATAAATACAGTCAAATTCACTAACGCACGATGTGTATCTATTAGGAGATTTTCTTCCCAGCAACAAAGTGATTAATGTAGTTGTATGTTACGATACTTGTATCTAGTTTTAAATGTTAATATTTTAACTCAGTAATAGATTTATGCCGAATACTGTTCTGTATGAAAAAAAATATATCTGACGTTTAAGGCCCGTTAGGGCTGAAAACTGTCTGATATTAATTTTTTCTTACAGAATTGTATGCGACACATATCGCACTTAAAACATTGCCCTTTAAATTTCGCTTTTGATTTTCCTGAGACAGTCCGATATTTAAAAAAAAAGAAGACAAAATTGCTAATGACCACTGAAGCGATTCTTTCAAGAAGGAGGCTTGAATGAAAAATACTCAGTATTTTTTAATCGACTACACAACTGTAGGTATTTGAAGTACTTGTTTGGAATGGAGAGTGGGGTTGAAATAATATGCACAAAGCTTAATGCAGTGTATTGAATTAGAATGATTTTGGGGGAATGGAAAGGGAAATGCAGATTGGGACTTTGATTTGAACTGAACATGCAGATGCTGAAGGTATATTAATTTTTAATTAGACACTGAGAATAACTTATATGAAGGGTCGTACTTGTAATGGATAATATTGTGATTTACCAGCCAGCTCTAATTTATAAATATTCAATGGTTTCAAAGCAATTAAAGAATCTTCTGATGAATTTTTAAAACATCATTTAAAGTTTAACAAGTTTAATACAAGTTCAAGAGGTCGTGTTTGAATCTTTTTATTTTCTCTCTTCCTATTACAGGATATTCTATTAATTAGAAATTATTTTCTTATTTCCCAATTCTGTTTGATAAATGAATATTTTGTTTTAAAATAATCATTATACACTTGATCAAACAATGCTGTTTGCTAAATAATCACATTTTTATTCCTTTTGTTCAGTAACAATCCAAATGAGCCGATATTACGATTAATATCAGACTGCTTTCTAATATCGGACTGCCACAAGTAAATTTTAGACTGTAAGAACAAAGGAATGATATCACAGCTATGTTTAATAGATGTGTGCAACTATCTGTTTTATTTGTGTGTGGATGCTTTAACTTCTCGTTGAATTTTATATATCTATTAAAAAAAAATTAAATTGAAAACCTTTACTTATTGTTGTGAAAATGTGGAAATAAATACAGTTGTGTATGAAAAATTATACCTACAGTTGTGTGTGAAAATTCATAGCCGTCAGGATTCAGCAGAGGTGCAAAAAACCAGTCAAATTTATTCAGCAACTGTGTAGCATAACCAAACTCGTCTCCATACACCAACTGGATGAAAAAAATATTATTTCATTATTTAACATTTCCTGAAGCTGTATTCATTGAAAACAAAAACTAAATTTGGGCTTTTATATGAAATTGATCAATGAAAGATACAGTGTAGTCATATTTCAATTTAATCACCGTAAAACTGCAGATTTAAAATTTTTAAAATGTTCAATTCGAAGAGAAAAAAATCCAGCCAATAAATTATCATTTGAATAATTACATTTTAATTATTAAATCATGATTGAATATTATAAAAACCAAATATACACAAAAAACTATTGATAAGATTCTCAATAATTATTTAATATTTTATTAAAAGTTGTCCTGGCACGTCAAATATCAAAATCGTGAAAAACGCCTGGAAAGGGTAAGATATTATTGACTATATTTAAAGAATTTCTACGTCATGCATGCGCTTTGATTTTTTTAAAAAAAGGAATGTGTTATTTAAAGTTAAAATAATAGAATTCTTACTTGATTAATGAAATATAACACTGTAGCCGGGGCTATCCACTCACGGGCGTGGATCCCGCCGTCAATAAAAATAGAGGGGCGTGATATACTGTCTCCACGAGTAACCTAGCAAGAGAGGAAAAAAGAATTTTAAATACAAGTAAATTACATAACCAGCTCATCATTTTAGCCGATATTGATAAAAATTTCTTTAGTGTTCACAATAATTTACATAATAATTTTTTTTTTTGGGGGGGGGGGGATTTTTCTGTTGTTGGTTACTTGCAAAATTAAGTTTCAATGTGATCTCTTTTTTATTTTCATGGTTGTTCATTTTAATAACTTCTACTCAGTGTCAAGTATTGTAATCAAATGTCCAATGGGTTAATATTACAATGTACAAACATCTGAGTTATAAAGATAAAACAGAACTGACTTTGAGAACGTTAATTTCCCGTCCCTCTGCGGTGTATCCTATAGTGGAGACGCTAGCATTAACTGTGGACATGGACAATGTCGCCGTTGCTACATCTCTTAAATACTGATTAATCTGAAAAATATGCAAGTGGATGCCCATTCATTCTCAGCAATGTATTTCTAAAATAATTATATAAAACTCAATTTTTTCTTCACAGTGTTCAAAAGATATAATTTTTAATACAAAATGCACATTATTTCAAAAATAGTTCAATTTGTTCTCCTATTGATTGTACTGCTTAATACAATGGTTTATCTCTTGTAGCATTTACATGGTTACATAACAGGTCCGTAGGAAGGTTCGGGGACACCCCCCCCCCCCCTCCTATTTGGAGATTACTTTTCTGCTGTAGTTTTAAGATGAACATTTTCATTAGTAGGCTGCCCCCCCCCCTTTTTTTGAAGAAAAGAAGAGAATTTTTTTTTGCTTTTAATCGTTAAAATGTTTTGTTTAAGAAAACAACGATACGTAAATCTCTGTGGTGGGGAAATTATTAAAATTATAACGAGAAATAAAGATATGTGAATCTTACTGTTGAATATCTGTGATAGGCGAAATGATTAAACCCCTGCTTTCGTCCCTGAGAACTGTATGGTAAGTGAAAACTTCTTTTTATGGAAGACTGTTCTTCATCAACGAGTCTAAAAATCAATAAATATACATAAGAAATAAAAGAAAGCAATAAAAAAAAGTTGATACTAATTTTATATCAAGAATAGAACTTAAAAGAATACACAAATATTAACACAAGAGAACCATGTACCACAAGTCTAACCTGTTACAAACTTTCCCCTGTTGAATTGTTATTAAAAAACCTTTATATAACAACACTCTTATGTTAAACAAAGATCCCAGTTGTGGCCCCATCCTAGCCCTAGGTACCGAAATAGAGCAAATTTGAATTTAATTTACATGGAGATGTTTGCATATTTTGTCTCTTCCAAATGCCCCCCCCCCCCCCTTTAGACACAGGAACATGTATCTATCTCAATGTAAGAAATTGAGGTCTCATCACAGTTCCTAGGGTCACAATTTCAACAAATTGATCAAGAAATGTTTTGAGTAAGGTCCGATAGAAATTCAATCTGGGACATTTAAGGTGAAATTTACTGTGAAATAAGAAGATCCTGATGAAACCATACCAACGGCTAGAAAAAAAGGCAAGTGGAAGACACTTCAGCGAGAATGGAGCTTTCTGTGAAAAGCAAACCTGGCATAAAGGCTGTTTTCGTGCAAAACATTTCTTGATCAATAACTCATAAATTATAATAAAATGGCAAAATTCATCATATCTCTTGTTTGTGCCTTTGTTTAGTAGCATTACATTTATTTCCAAAATGTGTATTTAATTAGTTCTCAAAAGCATGTAAGGTTAAAAGGTTGTTTTTTTTCTTTCTTTCTTTTTTTTTTTTTTTTTTTTTTTTTTGAAAGTTGCCAACAATTTTTCACGAATTCTTCATTTTTCCCCGTAAAAGAGGGTTTGGCTCTTTATTCAAACAAACTGGAATCCTTGACCCAAGGATGTTTTGTACCAAGTTTGGTTTAAACAGTGGTTCTGTAGAAGAAGTTGAAATATGAAAATATGAACATTTACAGACGACAGAAAGACAGAGAGACGAACGACTGACACTTTTTGGATCAGAAAAACTCACTTTGAGCCTTTGGTTCAGGTGAACTAAAAAGGTGTTGTGAAAAAGGTGGCGATTTTCTTTACAGGGAATTCTTACATAAGTAATTTAGTGTTATTATTAAATCGTCTTACTCGACGACATCAAATAATGTGCGTATTTGATTGTATATAATGACAAATTAGACACTTGTGATTCTTTCAATGGAGATTTTATGGCAGGAGGTCAAATTAGGGTTTTAATTTTAGGGTCATTATTGGACGTCAAATTATAGGGTTTTATTTACGTCAGACAGATTTCAATCAGATTTTTGCACGTAAAAATGACCAGGATGATTCTGAAAACTATACATGACATAATTTCAACAAAGATAGATCAAAATACATGTTTGATTTTCAAGTGTGTATATTAAATAGCTTAGTACTATAGTGGGTCAAGGCTGTTTGACTGTACTTTTCTTTTGTGAGAAGCTGATCGTTATTAATCCCCCTCAACTTCGAAGTTGAGGGGGAGTAAAAACGAGCCGTCAACTTCTCACTAGAGAGTATGACTGGTACAACATCACATGACAGCGGGTCGCTAAGGTTGAATTGACTGTACAGATAAATTTATATATATAGGACAGTATTATGGTGGGTAGCCAAGGCAGTTTAAATGTGTAATTTGTATATATTTGTATATAATAGCACAGAATGGGGGAGGGGGCGCAAACTGCACGTGTAGATAAATAGCATTGTACAGTAGTTGGCTAAGACAGGTTTGACTATACAAGTGTATATAATAGGGCACAGGAGACTGGGTCACTAAGACAGGTTTGACTGTACTAGTGTATATAATAGGGCACGGGAGAGTGGGTCACTAAGACAGGTTTGACTGTACAAGTGTGTATAATAGGGCACGGGAGAGTGGGTCACTAAGACAGGTTTGACTGTACAAGTGTATATAATAGGGCACTGGAGAGTGGGTCACTAAGACAGGTTTGACTGTACTAGTGTATATAATAGGGCACGGGAGAGTGGGTCACTAAGACAGGTTTGACTATACAAGTGTATATAATAGGGCACTGGAGAGTGGGTCACTAAGACAGGTTTGACTGTACTAGTGTATATAATAGGGCACGGGAGAGTGGGTCACTAAGACAGGTTTGACTGTACTAGTGTATATAATAGGGCACGGGAGAGTGGGTCACTAAGACAGGTTTGACTATACAAGTGTATATAATAGGGCACTGGAGAGTGGGTCACTAAGACAGGTTTGACTGTACTAGTGTATATAATAGGGCACGGGAGAGTGGGTCACTAAGACAGGTTTGACTGTACAAGTGTGTATAATAGGGCACGGGAGAGTGGGTCACTAAGACAGGTTTGACTGTACAAGTGTGTATAATAGGGCAAGGTAGAGTGGGTCACTAAGACAGGTTTGACTGTACAAGTGTATATAATAGGGCACGGGAGAGTGGGTCACTAAGACAGGTTTGACTGTACAAGTGTATATAATAGGGCACGGGAGAGTGGGTCACTAAGACAGGTTTGACTGTACAAGTGTGTATAATAGGGCACGGGAGAGTGGGATGCTAAGACAGGTTTGACTGTACAAATGTGTATAATAGGGCACGGGAGAGTGGGTCACTAAGACAGGTTTGACTGTACAAGTGTGTATAATAGGACACGGGAGAGTGGGACACTAAGACAGGTTTGACTGTACAAGTGTGTATAATAGGGCAAGGTAGAGTGGGTCACTAAGACAGGTTTGACTGTACAAGTGTATATAATAGGGCACAGGAGAGTGGGTCGCTAAGACAGGTTTGACTGTACAAGTGTGTATAATAGTGCACAGGAGAGTGGGTCGCTAAGACAGGTTTGACTGTACTAGTGTATATAATAGGGCATGGGAGAGTGGGTCACTAAGACAGGTTTGACTGTACTAGTTTATATAATAGGGCACGTGAGAGTGGGTCACTAAGACAGGTTTGACTGTACAAGTGTTTATAATAGGGCACGGGAGAGTGGGTCGCTTAGACAGGTTTGACTATACAAGTGTATATTCTCAAAAAAGAATTGGTACCGTTACTTTCTCTACATGTAACGAATTTCACGTTTAAATGTGATAATCATACAGTTTTGACTTACTTTTGTAAATCGTTGATCCAGATTTTGACATGAGCTCCTATGTCTTTAAGGACACTTAATACAGATTCCAGTTTCTCTGGTTCTACGTAAACATCCATGGAGTGGTTTCCCCTTCGTGGATGTCGCCACATGTCAAGCTAGAGTATAACATACTAGACTATGTAAACATTTTAAACAAATCAAGAATTTTTTTTTAAAAATCATTTGTTCCTTAAATATTAATGCATTATTTGGAGGTTGATTAAAACTGGATTTTAATCATTTTTTAACAAGTTAATTCGGTGAATTTGTGTCCCCAGCTTAAGGAAAAAAAGAAAAGGGTGGAAGAACTGAAATCAATGCAGATGAAGAAAGAAAAAAGTTGACCTTGACTTTTAGTTTTTGGCCTCAAAGTCAATTGGGATCTTTATAAAGTTAAAGGAATTCTTGACCTTACGTTTAATTGAAAAAGTAAACAAAGAACTAAAGTTATCATCTGAAAACTATCTATGGAATATATTAATTTCTGACCTTGGTCTTTGACCATTTGACCTCAAAATCAAAAGTTGTTTTAGGTCACCTAAGTTACTATCCGTTATTGTCTGTTGCCGTGTGTCGTGCTTGGACATTTGAACATTTTCAGCTTCTTCTCTGAAACCACTTAACCAATTTCAACCAATTTTGGCATATTGCATCTATGGGTGAAGGGGGGAATTGAAATTGTTATGGTCCCTGCCCCCCCCCCCCTCGAGCATGGGTGTCTCATCCAAAATTGTGTATTTCATCATGACATGGTCCCTGGGTCAAGGGTTCTGGTGTTAGGGCGGGGCTATATATATCGATTACTTTTTGAGTTGTTACTGAGTACTAGACTAATTATTTCGTTGGTCCTGATCATCCTATTTCTCTTGCTTTTTGGCAACAAAGCTTCATCTATCAGTTTATTTTATACTTCTATGGATCTTCTAAATTATTGTATTATACCCAGGTGAACGTTAATGGCTCTTGGGCCTCTTTTGCAGTTGTATTGACTAACCTTATAAAATTTAATTGCAAAACCTCTAAGAAAACTAAAGTTATCACTAGGAAACCATTTTATGCATTATATGATTTTTGATTGACCTGTACCTTTGACCTCAAAATCAATAGAAGTCTTTAAGTTTTTGGAAGCTATGATATAAAATTTTATTGCAAAAGCTCGAAGAAAACTTAAGTTATCATCGGAATTTTTTTTTTTTTTTTTTTGCAATGTATTAGTTTTTTTGCTTTGACTTTTAACCTTTTGACCTCGAATTCAATACGGTGTCTTTGGGCCACATGAAGTTGTGATATAAAATTTCGTTGCAAAAGTTTCAAGGCTTTTTGAGATAACGTCCGGAATTAAAAGTGTTACATACAGACAGAATGTATAAATTTCTGGATCTGAAAATCAATAGGGTTTTTAGGCCATGGAAAATTGTGAAATAAAATTTAATAAATTTGACAATTTATAATTCAACAATTTAAAATTTGTGATATAAAATTTTAGTACAGAGGCTCGAAGGTTTGTTTTTTTGAAGGGGGGGGGGGTTATCGTCCGGAAACGAAAGAGTTACACACATACAAACTGACGGACAGACAGACCCAAATTAATATCCCCCACTTTCAGTGAAAGAAAGGAACAAACGTTGTTTTCAGGACCTAAAAGTGGATTTCACTGATATACTTCCATAAAATATATTACTAGTGTGTTAGCAGTCATATTTATATTTCAATCACTATTTCGGCACAGGAACTTAATGAATACAATTATGTAGGCAAAACTGTATCGATTTATCCACAAAATTACTGTACTTGGCTCGTATACATAATATTATTATGAAAAGTTCTATATTACACTTAAATCAAAGCACTGTCCACATTCTCAAGATAATGTAATCATTAATTTAAAAAACAAAATGACATAAAAAATCCATTTGAGGTTAAAAAAATGATATCCATTTTTTTATCATTATTTCACCAGGGGGACCTTAAGATTTAATACTCACATCATAAAGGTCATGTAGAGCGAGCACCTGTTCTAGTTCGCTTTCAGAATGAGGCACAATCTGAAGCACCTTGTGGCTGAAAATCAAAACTTGTAAATTAACTACCTTATAGCTAAACGGATTGACTAGTGATTAAGGCTACTAAATTAAGTACGGTAATTAAAATCCGGACTGTCATTTCTGGGATTTATCTGATAGTTGAGTTTACTTCTGTGCTCAATATTATAAAGTATTGAATTGTGTTCACGATATTATATAAACTCATAGATACACATCTACCCTTAAATTTTAATCATTATTTTAAATCTCGGGAAGGTTTTACACATCTCTATATTATATCTTTTATATCATCTATCATCTCGATCTGTCTCGGGGAGATAAATTAATATTATGTTAAATTAATAAAACAAATATTTTGTAAAATATGACATACATGTGCAAGACAAATATTAAATGCCAGGCATGGGGGGGGGGGGGGTGTTAAAAATTGTTAAAGGGAAGGAAGTAGGTTCCAGCTTTTCCAATGAGAAACTTTTTTGATATTATATTAACTTAAAAAGATTTGACAACACTGCAACAAAAAGTGTAGGGGGTCATCGCCCTTTCAATGATAATTCCATACATTTTATGAGCGAAAGTATACTCGGAAAAAGGAGGGGGTAGCCCCCCATCCAATAATCCCTGATACTACTTAACTGCATGTTAAAATATATCATGTGGTTTCTTTGAATGAAATATATTACCATCAACTTAATTATCCATAAATACAAAATGTTGTTTGTTTTTTTTTTTTTTTTTTAGTGAGTCAGGTTGTTTTTCATAAGACTAACTTTATAATAATACGAATGCTTCCACACAAGATATAATTTTACATAAAAAGTTGATTGTAAATAGTATGATGATGATGAAAATATGTGAAGTATAGAGCAAAATATAAAGTATTTTATTTGTAAGTTGATTAATTAGATTCTTTCGTACTTAACATATTTACAAGAATTCTAAGCCTTTTTTTTAAAAAATCTTTTTTTATAAACTGTATAAAGTGGACCTTTTAAAAATGTTTATTTCTTTACATGACAGCTCAGATTTCTTCTCATAACATTAACGACACAAATTGAAGAGAGAACTACTGTTTTATGAAGTGGAAAAATACATATCACATTTATGTAAGACTTTTTATTCAATATCTTTGGGGGAAAAAATGAATTTTAAGTAATTTAAATGGTAATTTTTTTTACTCTGAATATCTGTATAATTTGAAGCTACTTTCCAAAAAATCTTACCCGTCAAATCGAATTGGTTCAGATGTCACATAACCACATAAGAGTAAACCCAGACAAACCAACGAGCTCGTCATATCCACCCAGGCCGTATTCTGAAAAAAAAAATACAGAATCTCTCAGATATTGGAAATTCTTATAAACACTCGTAACATAGAGCCATCATTCATTTCAAATCTGGTACGTCACAGAATCCCGAGAGACTTCATTAAAGTTGTCACATCTGCTTCAAAAGTTCCGAAGATATAAAACTCTTATCCTTTCCGACAGTAATTACACATCTCAATTTCGTTCCGAAGCCGAGGTTTCAGTATGCGATCTGTTTTTCAGATTTCCTTGGGGGAACCGGTATAAAAAAAAAGATGACAATTACATTTTATAATTTTTGTTTTATTATGGAATATTTAAGGGCTAATGAGTTGGTTTTTTTTTTTTAATTAGGAGTTAGATAATTTTTTTTTTTTGATTTACCTTGCATAAAAATTCTATAATTTGATTCTGGTGCTAGCCGCTTTTTGATCAAAGAATAAGTTTCGTAACCCATGCTGCCTACGTCACAGTGCCTTGCGATGAAAACGTTTCAATCCCCTTTACGTTACGTTTAAATTTCGCATGACATTCTATTGTCATTTTTGAGAACATATCGTTTTACTTTCTCATGGGAAAACATAAAATTAAAAAGAAATGATATAATAGTTACTTGTTTTACTCCTATTACTTTTTAAATTATTTTTTTAAATAAATTCAAGTTATTTGTCTTCGTAACTCGGACAATAAAAGAAATAAAATTGGTATAAGTCTTGTGGCAATGAACACTTAGTTGGATACTTCACTGAAACACTGAAATTTAATTTTCCTAGAAAAATAATATTATGTTTGAAATTTACACGTCTTACCATTGTGGTCAACGACTTTAAAACTGATAAAAAGCTTAATTAAAGGTCAAGGTCTTTCTCCGGACAAAGATAAGACCATATCATATTCCGACATGTCCAATTCATATAAAATTAATATTTGCATTACAGCTGTTGCGAGTTGTAGCAGTGTCTTCCTATATATCTTAATTTCACCTGATATGAAAGTCCTGTTGGACTTAAGAACTCCTGGTACTGAGTATTTCAATTCCACCTTATTTGTCATTGTTTCTGATTTTAGATGCATCATAGCTCAAGGCCCAAAAATGGGGTTGAGTTAATAATGAAAACACATGACATCTTTGGAAATCTTCTGCATTACTCGTGGATATCTTCGCCTAGTAGGATACTATAGGTCTAATAAGCATAAAGCTATTGAGTATAGGATAAATATCTGTTTTCAGTGACTTCCTCTTGATAATATTCGAAAGATTTTAAAATTCAAAATAAAAACCTACTCACTTGAGAAATGTCATTACAGGAGCATGATCCGGTTTGCATGATCGGGGTGAAATGGACGTTTGAGTCTATAAGCATCCATTCACGGAGTATATTGGAGGAGTAATGAGCCGCTAATGATGTCCCAGTGTCGTTACATCCTATTTTGTTTACGTGAAAATTTAATGACGTGACGTCATAACGTCAAAAACATTACCCGTGTATGTACTTTTCTCAGGAATGTTATATTCAAAATACAACCAAAGTCGTCAAATTCACACAACGTCACGTGGACAATGTTTTTTAAACATGAAGGTTGCAAAAATGTCTGTAATCGATCTTCTCTTCTAGGTCGTATGGAGGTTACTTTTTTTTCTCTCTCTCTCTATTTTTGAGCAAATTTTGAATTGTACAATTGAATTGTCCCAACACCTGTGTTTCACAGAAAGGCTGATGTTTCAAAATAAAAAAGCAAAATCTTTCATTACAAATTTCATTATCAAAATAGCAGACAAAAATAAGGTCCAAAAATATGAAATATATGGAATTATTAACCTTTTTTGCATGTAAATTATAACTTTTCCAGGCTATATGTTTTACTAAATTTCTCATATTTCAATTCAAATTTAATAAAGAAGGGATAATCGGTTTTGTTTTTTTTTTTTTAGAAAGCGATAAATTTTCTAATTCTCCAGCTTGAATGTAGATGGGGAACTTAAATGGCTGACAGAGTAGATATAACTATAAAACAGGCATTGATATGTGCCATAACAAAAGATCTATTTCTCTGAATTTTTTTTTTCATTGCTGATAATTTTTTATTTTAAAAAATCAGTAGTGCAGGTACTTTAGGCTTGTGACATTTCATAACACCATCCATGTAGTCATCCTTTTAGAGCCAGAACACAATTTCCTTAGTCAATGATACATCTAATTATAAAAAGGGTCATTCAAAAAATACGTAGACCTTTGTCATAACTTTTTTTTAACTTCGTATTATAACCAACAAACATATTAAAACGGCAATTTGAATAATTTGAATTAGAAAAAAAATAAAATTCATCTTGAATATCGAAATACCATGTAACTTAATTTTTTTTTTAACTAACAGTACACTATTTGGTATCTATTGTCAAAAAAAAAAAGCTTAGACAAAAATAAAAATGTATTGTTGAAATTGGAGAAATTGTATCAATTTACATTCCAAATTGCTACATAATATATTTCTTTGTTGAGCAGAATCAATTGCAGAAGACAGTTCTAAATGAAAAAAAAATAGAACTATGTCCATAGGACACAAATCCCCCTCCCCGCTCATTATTAATGCCATATCACGTGATAAGAAATGTACCTTCCTTCTTTAATTAAGATTAAATGAGGAATTAGTGAGGTGAAAGTCATAGGGAAGGTCAAGGTCAAATAATTTTGACACAGTTGAATAGTATTAGTGTACAAAGTTTGATGAAAATATCTTGAATAGTTTCTTTGTTTAAGATCGAGTTTTAAATACAACAAATACTAAAGTCAAAGGTCATAGGGAAGGTCAATGTAAAAAAAAAAATGGACATAGTTCTCATCAATATCTATAAGTTTATGTGTTTAAAATAGTTTCTTTAAAATTGAAGAATAGTAAGGCCAAGGTACTAGAGAAGTTCAAGGTTAAAAAATGTTGATGCAGTTGAATAGCTCTCACAAAAATGTATCTGCATATGACGTTAATTAAAGATATCTTGAATAGTTTCTTTCAAACCGAGCCAAATGCAAATTTAAGAAAAGTGAGATACATGTAAAGATCAAACGTAAAAGGTGAAAATAACAAACAGTGATAAATCTCATAAACCTAGTAAACAAAACAAATCATAAACAGGGCAAACAAGGACCCTTAAAAACACCAGAGGTGGGATCAGGTGCCTAGGAGGAGTGAGCATTCCCTGTTGATTGGTCACACCCACGGTGAACCCTAGATATTGATCGGCTAGACGGAGTACTCAGTAGTCAAATTTAGCATAAAAGTAATTACCTAACAAATGGTATACACATGTCAGACAAAAAACGACTCAACATATTAGATTGGTTTTACAAATAAGTCATTATAATGACCTTAAGAGGGGTTGTTGAAATCCCTGTAACATCAGCTTATTTGTCAGTAGCTTGTCTCGGTTTAAAAATTGATCGTACTCAGAGCATGACCTTGCGTAAAGAATTAGTTGGGAAATATTTAACACCATATGATGAAATATTACTACATAAATGAGGGAAGCTGAAAATGGAAAATACGAAGTCATACCGTTTTAATTTGTCATATAGTTTAGTTTTTAGTGGGTCATTATCGTCTATAATCAGTAAATCATCTAAATATCTGGCAGACTCAAAGGGAAGGTCAAGGTCAATTATTTGATGCAGTTGAATAGCCCTCACTAATATGTATCAGCAGATGAAATTTGATGAAAATATTCTTTTTTTAATATATATATATATTTTTGAAAATGAGCCAATCACAAATTAAAGAAAAGTGAGATCGTGGTTAGAGGAAAGATCAATATCAAATAATGCTGATGCAGTTAAATAACGATATGTATCAGCACACAAGGTTTGATAAAAAAAAATCTTAAATAGTTTATTTGAAATGAAGCTAAACGCAAAGTGTGACGGGCAGAGACGGAAAGTGAAAGGACAGAAGACGAACATGACCGACACAGTATGTCCGAGCCATATTCATGGAGGGGCATAAAAATGGCGTTGCAGGACGTCACGGGGCAGCGAGTAGCTATATAAGTTTGCATTGCACTCTGGAAACTTCAAAATAAAATCTAAAAAAAAAAAAAAAGCTGGAGAAAACAGGAATAATTTGAAATAAGATACATGTATTTTATGTTATATTTGTAGATGATGATGTTTAAAAACACCCACTCATAAAGAAGTAATCGAAATCAGGCGCCATTGCATAACGAGCACTTACACCCGATTGCGGCTTGTCTGGTTTTGATGTCGCTAATATCAATTAATTGTTTTATAATAACCAGCTCTATACCGGTTAATGTTACTCAATTGTCAATTAACAAGGAGAAAAAAAAACTGAAATTACGAATTATCACTTTAGGAGGTGGGGGCGTGTCGTTATACCTTGAATCGTTACTTAATAGAACATTATGGTCATATAGAACCCATATATATATTTACAAAATACATATATATTTCGAAGTGATAAAAGTATCATTTCCCTATTTTCGATTACGGTAACTTATTTAGAAGATTTTTAGATAAATGATAACAATTGTATTTCTTATAAAGTCATCTTTATTTTCATTACACCAACATTAAAATCAAATATTATCACCACACACTCTTTCGTTTAATAGATGAATCTTTGAAGGACAAGCCTTTTGAGTCTTAGAAAACAGTTGTTCTGATTGTGCCTTAGCATCGTTCTGATTCTGTTAATCGACAGAGTTGTCGATACCACCAAAGCGCGTTAAAGTTAACTTAATTCCTCTATTTTTATAACATATCTAACGAATAAGGCAAAAAATTTCCAAATGTATAACACTTGTATACTAGTAAGTAGATTATATCAAGTCATATTTCTTTAACATTAAAATATAGTGTGATTATTATTTTATAATTTTGGGGGGTATAATATTTTTATAATCAAAGAAATTACAAAAGTTTCTTTTTTTTTTAATCTTAGTCATAAGTAAAAAGAAACAACAACTTAAATACACTGTTTTTATTTTGCAATTATGCAGAATTATTCTTTTACTGTTTGGCGATCAAGAATAAATATAATATGCCAAGCAATTTTCTCTATATATAGAAGAATTCCAAAAGTACGTCTCCATAGAACTTTGATGATTTATTCAGAATGTTGAAAAAATACAAACGGTTTGTTAATATTACAACTGTATACCCCAGTAAATATTTTTTCTTAGTAATTTGGCAAGTTTTAACAAATATAAAAGTCAAAAGCTTAACTATACAAAATAGCGTTTACGCAATTCCTATTTGGAATAAAAAGAATCGGTAATACGAATTATTATGTGGGTCCGGGTTGGTTTTCATCTCATACACTTCATAAAAAATAAATAATTTTATTTTAATTTAATTACTCCTAAAAAAAAATCTCATTTTGAGCAGAAACAATGAAATGTTAAACTTCACTATTGACCTTGTGTATACATTTATAGTAACATAATAGTCTTCATTTTGTGCTGTTTCAAATTTTATGTTTTTCCTACTTTTTTAAACATTGATTATAATAATATTAATAATACTTTATTTAAAGAAGGTAGCCTGATCAATGAGCCGCTTTTTATTAATAACGACAAATACTTCAAAGTATAGCAAAGAGTAACAAATTACAGTTGAGGCATAACATATGTACAAGGTCACATAATACCAAACAACTAAATTAAATTGACATATAAAATGGTATAGTATTGCATTTGTGAGATTTGACAATACAGTATATACATGTATATATCTTTACTGAATTGAGTAACATAAACACGTGTAATTAGCAACACATGCCGAGAGACAGCAGGGGTGGGACCCCTTGTGTCCATCTGTTCCAAGTCAAAGCCTGAGGTCAAATATGGCATTTGGATTGCTATAATTTATGCTTTCCAATTAGTTTGGATCATGTTGGTAAATTAGAAAAGAGACGGTAGTTGTTTGTTTTATTTGAACCAGAGACATTACATCTCATAGGTATACAAAATATGTACATAAATATTTATACATAAGCTTTGCACAGGATAAGTGTAGTATATGCTATACAATATACATTACATGTGGCAATTACATAAACAATAGCATTTAATGTATTATCACTTCTTATTGTACACTATTTAAAACATCATTTCTTAATTGATAAGAAAAATACAGAAATTTACCTAGGTTACATAGTTCTTTAGTATTTGTGGAACTCAGTAACTGTACTAATTTAAAAACTGATGGTTTTTTAAAATAATAACTCTTGATATATTTAATTCTTAGTTCTTCATATCGAGGACATTTTAATACAAAGTGAAATTCGTCCTCTATCTCATCTGATATACATATTTCACATTTTCTATCTTTTCTTTCTATGTTACAATATCTTCCCCTCTCTATCTTTAAATCATG